ATGGGAATAGCATTGAATGTATAAATTACTTTGTACATTATTGCCATTTTCATGATGTTGATTCTTCCTATCCATGAGCATGGAAGTTTTTTTCTATTTGTTTGTGTTCTCTCTTATTTCTTTGAGCATTGGTTTGCAGTTCTCCTTGAAGTGGTTCTTCATGTCCCTTATATGTTGTATTTCTAGGTAGTTTATTTTCTTTGTAGCAGTTGTTGACAGGAGTTTACTCATGATTTGGCTCTCTGCTTGTCTATTATTGGTGTATAGAAATGCTTGTGATTTTTGCACATTGATTTTGTATTCCTGAGACTTTGCTGAAGTTGCTTATCAGCTTAACAAGTTTGGGGGTGAAATGGTGGGGTTTTCTAAATATGTAATCACATCATTTGCAAACAGAGACAGTTTGACTTCCTTTCTTCCTGTTTGAATACCCTTTATTTCTTTCTCTTGCCTCATTGCCCTGTCCGAAACTTCCAATACTTTGTTGAATAGGAGTGGTGAGAGAGGGCATCCTCATTTCGTGTCAGTTTTCAAAGCGAAGCATTACCTTATTTTTGATGGCTACAAAATCTATTGTGATATTATCCTTTGTTCTATTCCACATATTGGTGGTTGGTGTCTTCTTATCGTTGTTAATTTTGTTAGATAGATGTTTATCATTTTGTAGTTTTTTTCCCAAAAGAATACCTTGTGTCAATAATTTTCTGTATTTTTCTATTATCAGTTTTATTGATTTCTGCTCTTTATTGTTTCCAATCCTCTGCTTCATTGGGTTTATTTTACTCTTGATGGGGAAATTTTATTTCTACTTTATAATTCATTACTATTTATTTTGTTCAAATTGTTCCAGATTTGGCTAATAGAAGCTCTTACTTTGGTTCTAGTGACATAGTTCAGTTTTGTTGTTGTTTCTGAGCACTTTCTTACCTTTTGGAGCCACAAGATGCTCTCCTTCCCTATCCCAGAATCAACCGTTTCTTCATGGAATCACGATTTCTTTTACTGGGTAATGGTATTAGAAACCAAGATCTGAATGCTAGGTGTGCTGTCACTCCTGTGGAGTTGTTGCTTCTAGACCCTTTCAACTGACAGAACCAGGTAATTGTGTGTGTGTACACTAACTTGTGTATAAACGTATTTATAAATATCTTTAAATGTAACTAACTGTATCTATGTTGAAATAAACACAAGTTCATATTGATGTCTCTGACTCTAATCCATTACCACATGGATTATTCTAGCCTCCTCCCCTTGCTTATCTGTAAACTCCCATTACATGGATTAGAAACTTGGTGTTCACCATTCACTATCTGTACCTTTTTCATTTCTGTATACATGTAAAAGAGTGGCAGAATTGTTGATTCATATCCTGTGGAAAACAGTTTTGTCAACTAGAGCATAGTGCTTATGCTTATGTACAGTTTCTTTTGCCTTCAGTCTTAACAGACTCCATTCATTTTGTTGGTGTTTTTTGTTTTTTGGTTTTTTTTTGAGATATTGTCTCCCTCTGTCACCCTGGCAGTGGAGAGATCTCGGCTCACTGCAACCTCTGACTCCAGGGTTCAAACGATTCTCCTGCCTCAGGCTCCTGAGTAGCTGGGATTACAGACGCTGGCCACCACGCTTATCTAATTTTTGTTGTATTTTTAGTAGAGACAGGGTTTCCACCATGTTAGCCAGGCTGGTCTTGAACTCCTTTCCTCAAGTTATCTGCTGGGCTTAGTGTTCCAAAGTGTTGGGATTATAGGTGTGAGCCACTGCAATGCACAGCTGATTCATTTCTTGTTTTATTTTTTAAGGCGGAGTTTTGCTGTTATCATCCAGACTGGAGTGCAATGGCATGATCTTGGCTCAATGAAACCTCTGCCTCTGGAGTTCAAGTGATTCTCCTCCCTCAGCCTCCTGAGTAGCTAGGATTACAGGCACGAGCCACCATGCCCAGATAATTTTTGTATTTTTAGTAGATATTGGATTTCACCATGTTGGCCAGGCTGGTCTTGAACTCCTGACCTCAGGTGATTTGCCCACCTCGTCCTCCCAAAGTGCTGGAATTACAGGCCTGAGCCATCGCACCCAGCCTTCAATTCATTTCTGATCTTTCCTAGGTCATCACCTTCCCCCCACCCCCATCCGCTTCAGTTAGGTTGTTTCTACATATCATACATCTAATATAGCATATGTAATACATGTGATTTCCATGATTAGGTCATAAAAGGCTATATGGCTCTGCTTGGCATGGTGGATCCCCCCACCCCCATTGTCTGTCTGTCTCTCTCTCTCTCTCTCTCTCTCTCTTTCTCTGTCTGTCGCCCTCTCGTTCGTTCTCTCCATTTACACTTGGAACCCAGACAATATGTTATGAAGAAACCCAAACTAGCTGCCATGGAGAGAAAGACTGCCAGCCTGCAGCCAAGACAAGGTGTCAAATATGTGTAAACAAGCTGTCAGATGATTCCAGGGCTCAGAGTTCATGGAAGAAGCCATCCTTTCTGTGCTCTTCTGAATTCCTGACCTACTGAATCCATGAACATAACAAATGGTTGTTTTATGCAACCAAGTTAAGGAATTATATTATGCAGTCATAGTAACTGAAACAACTAATTCGCAACTTAAATACTACGGTTATTTATTTCTGTTGTCATGCGTGTTAATATTTTTTAACTTTACAAGACTTTGAATAGTTGTTTATATACACACATCACTTTCTTTGCTGTTTTAAAGAAATTATGTATTTTAGAATATTGTGTAATAAACATAAAATTTTCCACTTTATTTTTGAATATACAGTTCAGTAGCTTCAAGTACATTCACGTTGTTGTGCAGCTGTCACTACCATGAATCTATAGAGCTTTTACATTGTGCAAAACTGAAACACTGTACCCATTAAACAGTATCTCTTCTTGCATCAGCCCCTGGCAACCACCATTCTACTTTTTCTGTCTCTATGAGTTTCAGACAGAAAGTTTGTCTTTGACTGGCTTATTTCATTTAGCATGTCTTCAGGGTTCATCCGTGTTGTGGCATGTGTCAGAATTTCATTCTAAGATTGGTAATATTTCATTATATGTGTATACCACGTATTATCTATTAATCTGTTGATGGGCACTTGAGTTGTATTCACTTTTTGGCTATTGTGAGTAATACTGCTATGAACATTGGTGTGAAAGTATCTGTTTGAGTTCCTGCTTTCAATTTTAAGTTTTTAAGGATCCACTGTACACTTACATTCATACCAGCAGTGCATGCACAAAGATTCCAATTTTTCTACATCAACAGTTGTTATTTTTTGTTTATGTAAATAGCCATCCTAATGGGTGTGATGTAGTATGTTATTATAGTTTTGATTTCTTTTACATCATTGTTATTAGGAAAATTTAAAACAACATTTAAAAACCACTACATACCTATAATGGCTGCTATTCAAAAAACTTCTTTTAAAAAAATTACTACTTATTTGCGAGTTTCTTTTTTTTATTTTTATTTTTTGAGACAGAGTCTTGCTCTGTCACCTAGGCTGGAGTGCAGTGGAGTGATCTCAGCTCACTGCAACCACTGCCTCCCGGGTTCAAGTGATTCTCATGCCTCAGCCTCCAGAGTAGCTGGATTATAGACATGTGCCACTGTGCCTGGCTGATTTTTGTATTTTTAGTAGAGAAGAAGTTTCGCCATGTTGGCCAGGCTCGTCTCGAACTCCTGGCCTCAAATGATCCACCCACTTTGGCTTTTCAAAGTGTTGGGATTACAGGCGTGAACTACTGAGCCCACCCTCCCTTTCCTAGTTTTATAAGTCCTGTTTTCAATGATAGTTAAAGTGTTCAGAGTAATAGCAGTGGTATTTTGTTCTACTTCATTTTCTGATGCTGTTAGAATTCTAGCTCAGTTCCTGTTGGTGCTGTGTGGGGTGGGTGGAAGGTACCTTTTGATGTCCTTGTTCACCTATGTGGAGTTCTGGTTAAAAGCTGCTGGGCCTGAGTTTTCTTATATCATTGGGTGGAGGACGGGGGATGCTGGCCTCTCTTATACTGTTGTTGCCTCAGATTAAACCATCTGCTGCTGCCCTGGTTGGTAAAGTAGGAACTGGGATGACCTGGGGTGCCAATACTATCCGTGGATCAAAATGTTGCCTTGGGCTGTGAAGGTCAGGGGTTTCACTCCTCTACAGCTACCTGTGGGTCATACTGCTTGCCATCTATGATTGTTGAAGTGGCACCGGCGTGGTATGAACTCCTTTGCTGCTACAGTCCATAGCACAGCTCAGGGCTTTGTTGCTCTGCTAGTGCATGTAGTAAGCAGTGCTCCACGGTCCACAATGCAGAATGAGGCTTGAATTTTCTCATTAGGTCTTTATTGGGTTCACCTTGTTCAGAGAATGCAGATTCCACCCAGCCCCCACCCTGTCTTTCACCTGTTGATAGTTCCAGCTTGTAGGTTTCTCCACTACCCATCCAGGGGTATATGGGAGACAAAGAGAAAACCCAAGGGACTCATTGCCTTGTCTGTTCCTTGCCTTGAGTTTCCTAGATAGCCTGCCTTTTTTCTTTCGGCTTTCAGAATCCTAATGTTGATTGATGGATAACTTCCAGGGAATTTAGTTGCATTTAGAGGGAGAAACAGGGAAATGCTATCTCGTTCAGAAGGATGAGGGTTTAGAATATATATATATATATTTTTTTCTCATAGATAAATGTTCATATACATATATACTGTGTATGTATATATGCATACATGCTTACATCACATCTTTATATGTGTTATATCTATATTCATGTGTATATGTGTAAATACGTGATCATCTAACTGTCCTAGGTCACCAGTTTTTAGCCCAAAGATAGAAGAATCTTAAGTACTTATTTTAATCGTATATCTTTGGTTCTAATCTTAATGACTTTTGAATTTTCTGAAAACTATTTCTGATTAAATTATTTCTGAATTTTGAAAAGCCTGCTTGATTCTCTTAATATTCTTTTAATTGACAGTATCTTTATATAATTTTCTTCTAGCTCAGGCCCATGAAGTTCATCAGAAAATTCTGGCAACTGATATTAGTTCCAAAAATACGTCTGATTCGAAAAAAACGTCAAGTAGAAACATAAATGATCATCACAGTGAAGCTGATGACGAATTTTACTTATCTGTTGGCTCACCTTCTGTTCTTTTGGATGCAAAAACATCTGTATCGCAAAATGTTATTTCATCTAGTGCCCAAAAGAGAGAGACTTACACTTTTGAAAATTCAGTAAATACGCTGCCTTCAAGTACAGAGATTTCACTTAAAACCAAAAAAAGGTACATTTTATTTAAATGATATTAATCGCACTTTAAAAATTTTACCTTTTATATTAAAAAATGGTAATTCAATCTTGTTATGTAATTTTACAGTAAGAAAGGAGGAATGTTAACATGTTAACATATTAACATGAGAAAATATACATTTAGCATATATTCAGTTTATAATAATTAAGGAAGGCCTTAAAGTTTACTTCAGAGAAGTTTAGAGGTTAACTTTTCTATAGTCTGTAGAAAAATGTGTTTTCTCTCTGATAGTATTTGACTGCTTCCTAAGATAAACAATTTGTATTTCCTCAGTATTTTTTATAATTGCAAGTGTAGGTATATATCAGGTAACTTCTAGGGTAGCAGAGCATACCTATTATTGAGGATACTGTGCTTTGTGGACAGCTGGTTTCTCTTTCTTGGCCTTACCTTTGGCCTTTAGGAAGCAAAGTGGATTGTTCAAGGACTTTTGCTGTTGGAGATCTCTGTAGTGAGTGTAATTTCTATCTGGAGTATTGTGTGATTCCTGGAGCCAAGGAGTTAAGTATATTCTAAGACTTTACTATTCAAAGTTTGGTCTGTCACTGTGCTCTAAGATTGCCCTGAGAACGATCATCTAGCTATACATTTCATTGATGTATACTTTGACTATTGTTTTCTCTTTTTATGTTTTTCTATTGCTAAATACAAAAGTTAATTTTCCTGAGCAGTTTATCTTGTGTATTTGGAGTGCACAAATCAGCATTTATGTTTTAAATAAAGGCCTAGTGCAGAATTTTAAAGTGGTCTGTATTGTCCGTAAGGGAGTTCAGAAAGACTCATAACTCAAGAAATGTTACAGGAGCATTCAGCTTATCCTCCTTTTAACCTTTTAGGTTAAACTTTGAAGATAAAGTTATTTTAAGGAAAATAGAAATAGATAATAAAGTATCAGATGAAGAGAATAAAACATCAGAAAGACAAGAAAGGCAACCATTGGGATCATCTCAGAATAAAATGCAAGATTCAGAATATGAAATTCAACCACAAGCTAAAAGTTTTTCAACATTGTTTTTAGAAACGATAAAACGAAAAAGTGAATACAGGTGAGTTATTAAGAAACTATCCTTTGAAACATTTTTCTTTTCTAGTCTATGAAGTATGTATAAGGATTCCTAATGTTATTTAACTTAGAAATAAATCCTTTAATTAACAACAATTTTAATTGAAAATTTTGTCTGACCTATAAAGAGAGATGTCGCCTGGCCGACAATGCAGTATTTAAAAATCATTATTTTAGGGTCCCCCATGTCACTACCAGAGGTATCAGAGTGTTAGTGAACATACTAGGAATTTTTTATTGCTGGGCACACTGGCTCATGCCTGTAATCCTAGCACTTTGGGAGTCTGAGGCGGGCAGATCACTTGAGGTCAGGGGTTTGAGACCAGCCTGACCAATGGTGAAACCTCATCTCTACTAAAAATATAAAAATTAGCCAGGCATGGCGGCATATTCCTGTAATCCTAGCTATTTGGGAGGCTGAGGTAAAAGAATCACTTGAACCTGGGAGGTGGAGGCTGCAGTGAGCCGAGATTGTGCCACTTCACTCCAACCTGGGTGACAGAGTGAGACTCTGTCTCAAAGAAAAGGAAGTTTTTATAACAACATGTTGAATGAATGAATGAAATTCCCCTTTTGTTCAGTCTCTGTTTCCTGTAGTTGATTATTTTTATGTATATATTTTACCCTTCATATGGATATTGTCACCACCATCTGAAACAAATGTGTTATAATTATGAGCTAATTATATCATGTCTGAGAAATTATTTTTTAATGTTCTTTTTGATATTCTGGTGAGTAAAGTTAATTTTATGTTTAATTATTGTATCCACATATAACTATTCACTATTCCCAGTGCTTTCTTAACATCATTGCTTCCACTTAGGCTCTTCCTTCTGATTGTCTTTCTTGTATCTCCTTGTGACCAAATCTTATAAATCCATCAAGATCCAGCTTAAATGCTGCAAAGCCTTTCATGGTTTTTCTAGCTAACTAGAAGCCATCTTTCCCTATTCTAAACTTTCATAGTATCATCATTGTTTCATAAGGATATCATTTCTGTTAAACATCCATTCATTGTAGTGTTTGTATTGACTTTGTTCTTTGTTCGTTTTTATAGTTTTATTATATAAATGTGTGAAACTCTACCATTAGAGAGTATATTTCTTGGAGTATTTGCTATTTTAAATTATAAGATTTGTCAGGAGTTTGAGATTATAGGAATAGAGAAGGCATTTTCATTTCTGATTCCTTTTGTATATTCTAATTAAAAGAGAAAAACATAACCTAATTTTTGCATTCTGGTTTGCTTTCTGTTACGGCTAACCATAGCTAAGTAAGCCTTCTCATCCAACGGAAAAAGCAGAAACAAGGGTGCATATGCTAGCTTTGGAGTTTGGATGTTTACCTTGTTTCTTATTTTTTGTATCTCACTGCAATATGTGATGTACTCAAGGCTATTATAAAAAGCAGGGAAATGAAACATAAGTCAGTCTACCAGATTATTATCCTTGGAATAGTTCCTTCCTTCTCTAGAAAACTTTCCTGACTAATTGGAGGAGGTGCTGTATGCACTAGTCTTAATTTATTCAACACCTCATTAAATGCGTGAATCTCTTTGTATGTACTTAACATGTACATGATTTTATGAAAATGTAAGAATTAGTGTTGATGTTAGATTGTAAGACATAAAATTGTAATTGAAATTGTCTGTCTTACTGTTTATCCTTTTACAACACTGGGAGTGGGAAATAACAATAATAGTCATAATACAGGTTTTCTGCCTTTTAGTAAAATACATAAAGTTTGGGCTATAACTATGGAGAAAGGTCTAGAGTTGGGAAACATTGTTTGACTTTGACTTCATTATTTATAACAGATTCTATAGCATTGTAAGCTTTGTAATAAGACTTGCCTTTTATTTTTTCCTGTTTCTATGGCACTAGATTTCTTTTGTGCTTAAGCTACCTTTTATATGAAATGCCAAATTTGGAATGAATTTTTACGCATATGCTGTCATATAACAAGTTAGTACACACTTAGTGGCTTAAAACAACAAACATTTATTATTTTATAGTTCTGTGGGTCTATAGTTTACAGTTCTATAGTAATGTTAGTAATTTTTACATTCGTTCAGCCGTCTGTGTATTTGGTGTTGCTATGTATAAAGAACTTGAGATGTAAAAGAAACATTGGAAGAAATTTTCCTCAATCTCTCTCTCTCTCTCTCTCTCTTTTTTTTTTCCTGAGACGGAATTTCACCCAGTCACCCAGGCTGAAGTACAGTGGCATGATCTCGGCTCATTGCAACCTCTCCCTCCTGGGTTCAAGCGATTCTCCTGCCTCAGCCTCCTGAGTATCTTGGATTACAGGCATCCGCCATTATGCCTGGCTAATTTTGATATTTTTTTTTTTTTTTTTTTTTTTTTTTTTGAGACTGAGTTTCGCTCTTGTTACCCAGGCTGGAGTGCAATGGCGCGATCTCGGCTCACCGCAACCTCCGCCCCCTGGGTTCAGGCAATTCTCCTGCCTCAGCCTCCCGAGTAGCTGGGACTACAGGCACGCGCCACCATGCCCAGCTAATTTTTTGTATTTTTAGTAGAGATGGGGTTTCACTATGTTGACCAGGATGGTCTCAATCTCTTGACCTCGTGATCCACCCACCTCGGCCTCCCAAAGTGCTGGGATTACAGGCGTGAGCCACCGCGCCCAGCCCCTAATTTTGATATTTTTAGTAGAGATAGGGTTTCACCATGTTGGCCAGGCTGATCTTGAACTCCTGACCTAAGGTGATCCACCCCCTTCAGACTCCCAAAGTGCTGGGATTACAGGTGTGAGCCACTGCACCCAGCCTCTCCAATCTCTTATAATTTAGTAGTATTCCATTTGAATATCAGACTTGGAGTTTCCTCAGAAATAATCTTGTTGATTTATTTTGAAAGTGAAGAATTCAGACCCCAAAAGGCACATATACAAATATATAATTAATTATACCATTATATATTATAATGGCATTCATTTTGGACTGCAACTCAATGTATCTGGGTTATAATTTTACCTCTCTGGGCTTCAGTTTTAGTATATATAATGTGTGAGTGAGTGGGACCAAATTAGTTGATGTCCATCTCTAATTTCCAGCTCTAAAGTTTTATGATGTCATTGTTATAAATGAAAGCGAACAGACATTGAAATGTAAAAGGAGGGAAAGATTTTTAAGATGAAGGGAAAATTGAGGAGATATATAAACTGTTTAAAAGATATGTAAATTTTGTTTCCTAGATTATTTTCTTTGCTAAACAAAGATAAAAGCTTCATTTTTTTGAACTGTTAAAAGTATCACCCTTTTTTAGTCCCATTGTTAGGCATGCGACAACTGCTCTACCTCATTCATGCCCTCCAGATGATAAGGAGTTGATAGAGGATGAATTTATAATTGACGAGTCAGATAAAAGTTTTGCCAGTAGATCTTGGATTACAATACCAAGAAAGCCAAGGCCTCTGAAACAACGCATAACATCTCCGGCTGAGAGTACTACAGTCCTTCAAGGTAGAAAGTCAAGAGAAAAACATCATAATATGTCACCTAAGACTTTGACAAATGACAAACATTCCCGTAAAACTCACTCAGTAGAGACATCTCAGCCCTCTGATAAAACAGTACTGGATACAAGTAATGCTTTGACAGGTAAAATAGTAAATGATTGTAGATCTACAAAATATGAAATGTATTCTGAGAATGCAAAAAAATCATCTGGAAGCAAAAGGACTATAAAACAAAAACAGAGAAGAAAATTTAAGGCTAAACTAGCTAAAGAACAGCTTGACATGGGACAGTCTAAAGATGAAAACATGTATACATCACATATTACCCAAGACAAATTTCAAAGAAATTCGGACAGAAATATGGAAGAGTGTGAAGAGATGGGAAATGATCGTGCTTCCAAAAAACAGATGTCACCTTTGAGTAAGTGTTTATATTAAATATAATGTGATCATTATTCTACCCATTTGATGTTTTTAATATCCTAATTTAGCTTTGGCAAGTAGGCAAAGTAATCTTAAATCAACAAAGAGCCTCAAAAGTCTGTAGGTTATTTTCTAGAATCTTTTTATTTTATATATAATTTGATTCTAACTCATGGTTTTTGTTTATCTTGTGAGATGGCAGTATATATAGAGGGCAAAGTGAAAAGGAAAGTCTAGTAAACAAGTTAGTATCAACATGAATAAGACAGAATGATAAATTCTATTTTTTTTTTTTTTTTAATTTTACTTTTAAGTTCTGGAGTACATGTGTAGATTTTGTAGGATTGTTATATAGGTATACACATGCCATGGTGGTTTGTTGCCTTCATCCCCCTGTCACCTATATTAGGTATATCTCCTAATGTTATCCCTCCCCAATCTCCCCACCTCCTGCTATCCCTCCTATAGCCCCCCACCCCACAACAGACTCCAGTGTGTGATGTTCCCCTCCCTTTGTGCATAAATTCTTTAGAAAATAAAAATGTTAAAAGAAATTCTAGGGTGGCATGGGGCTATTTTTTATAGAAACAAAAATCCATTATCTTCCATCATTCACTCATTTATCTGACAGTTGTTGAATGCCAGACACTGTGTTAGGCACTGTAGTCACAAAAATTACTAACCCATTATTTCTGCTGTTAACAAGATCATTGTGGTGGGTTCTGTAGAACAATAGATAATATATATACATGCATATATATGAAAAGGAAGGGTATAAAATTTTGATTTATTCATAATTTCTTAGGAAAAGACATATAAAGGAAGTATACTTGAAGGATGCTTTCTATAATTGTAAATATTAAACATTTACTGAGTACCTGCTATATTCTACACACTGATTCTTACATGTATTCTTTATCTAGATTGGTTAGTGAATATAATGTTCTTATTAATTTCCATACTAGTTGTACTAATTTTCTATTGCTGTCATATGACAAGTTACTATACACTTAGTGTCTTAAAACAACAAACTGGTTATCTTACAGTTTTGTGGGTCAGATGTCTCACTGGGGTAAAATCAAGGTATTGGTGGGGTTTTCTTTCTTTTTAGTGGCTCTAGGAGAAAATCTGTTTATTTGCCTTTTCCAGCCTGTTTAAACTACCTATGTTCCTTGACTCATGGTCCTCCTCCACAGTCTGCAAAACCAGCAATGCCAGCCTTCTGATGTTTTGAATTTATCTTGGCTCTTCTTCCATCATCTCATCTCTCTGACCACATCTTTTGAAGGAAACATATCATTAGATTGGGTCAACCTGGATAATCCAAGATAATACCTGTATTTCAGGGTTTATAATTTAATCACACTTTTAATCTCCTAAGAATTAGATTGAAAAAAATCATTTCAAAACAAGAAAGCAGTAATTGCTTTTACTTGGGACATTGTAGGAAGGAATTGTATATTTTTCAGTTTCAGAAGATATTGTTTTTGGCTGAGGAGTATATAAGAGTTATCAAGCAATGTGAAAAGTTTGCATTTAATAGAAAATTAGTGCTTACTTCAGCACATATAATTGACAGAAAGAGAACATGTGACTTTTAAAAATAGAGATGAAAAGAAGGCCACAGGATAAAGTTAAGAGGTTCTTATAATTGAGGTTTTTTTTTTATTTTTTTTAATGTTATAGTTTCCTGAAAACTCCTAGTAGATTGTGAATTGGTTTTATGGTTTTCTTTACTTTAGGAAGCAAGAAAAGTAGCACTAAAAAAGATAAGGAAGAATCTAAAAAGAGGCACCTTTCCAGTGAGTCCAAGGACAAACTTATACGTGAAGAAGTGACTTCAACTGTCAGGAGAAGTCGAAGAATTTCCAGACGTCCGTCTAATTGGTGGGTGGTAAAATCAGAGGAAAGTAAGTATTTTTATTTAAATTATGTTTGTTCATAGATAAAATCATTCTGTAAGGGGCATTATATTTGATTTTATATTTCTATGCAGAGAATCTCATGAGGACCAAGTTAAATTGGGTTATCAGAAGAAATGTTAAGTCAATTGTAAAGATATTCCTTGAAGCTTTAATATATAAAGCATTATAGGTATAGGGATAATAGCTATGGGAAAACAAAACCCAGACCAAAAATCCCTGCTCTTGTGGAGCTTACATTCTAGTTGGGAAAGGCAATATAAATAACCCTGCTATTTTAATGTGTTGGCTGTGAGGGATACAAAGATTGATAATATGAGGTTCTGCCACCAAGGGGTTTATAATCTAAAAGATTATAATTGAATTTATTACACATAAAAAAGTAAATTATTTATATTGGTGGTTCTTAAGACTACCCTCAGATTTGGTAATTTGCTAGGAGAACTGGGCATATAGTTGTACTCAATGGCTGTGATTCATTACAGTGAAAGGATGCAGTGCAAATTCAGTAGAGAAAAAGCGCATGGGCTAAGTCTGGAGGAAATCAGCAGAAGCTTAAAGAGTTCTTTCTCAGTGGATTCCCACAGGAGTTCCTTAATTCCTCTAACAATGAGTTGTGACAAATTGGCGAAATGTCTATCAGGGAAGCCCACTAGAGACTTAGTGCCCAAGATCTTTACCGGAGGTGGTCACATAGGTACTCTCCCTAGCAAGTACTATAATTCCATACTCCCTGAACGAAGGCCTGAACCATATTTTTTGTATAAGTAGTTTAGGCACACAAAACCACGTTTGTCAATTAGGAAATGATGGGAACCCTCCTGAAATTTAGGGTTATAGGGCTAACTTTGAAAGCAGGCCCTTTTAAGGCAGTGTACTTAGACCTGCTCTGCTAACTTTTTTCTGCACAATATGAAACATTTATTGTTTTGGAAGAATTGTCATTTTTTTTAAGGGAAATGATCCTGAAAAGATTGGTGGATCATAAGGTAGCATTCATATACACAAATTCTATTGACTATGGGGCATTTAGATTAATAAGTGAAAGATTAGTACAAATAGGGCATTGTATCTGTGAAGCCTTATTGCTATGAATTATTAAATCATTGAGATTATTGATTGATAGCATCAATTATTTATTTTGTTGCAGCTTTTGGAGTTTGGAGTCAGATCTGAGTTCAAATGATCACTCTTCTGCTTAGAGTAAATTACTTTGTTTAGTTTCTCATTCTGTAACATGATTATCTCATTGAGTTTTATAAAGATTAAATGCAGTTAGCGTAGTGGGTGGCATATGTTAGTGTTAAGTAATACTGTTACATCTTTGGGGAACTCATTTTTCTTCCCCAGGTTGCCTGAAATGCTAAGGTACTATGGCAGATAGCACATAAATAATGGGGTAAATAAGTGCTTGCAGAAATTAAATGTGCTAGATTTCTGAAACTATCAAAAAACACTTATTTAACAGTCCTGAAATAGATGTATTTTTGATCAAGCTGGGAATCAAAAAAAGTAAATAAATGCTTATATATCGTGTAGTCTAAACTCTGACCTGATGGAAGAAGAAACTGAAGTCTGAAGTTAAGAACAACTTGACCTGTCTCCAACCTGCTTGTAGTACATGTGACATAGTTGACCTTCCATATATATGAAGAAATGTGTATGGAGTACTTGCCTTGGGGCAGGAATGAAGTAAAGGAGGACCAGGACTAGAGTAAGACAGTTGAGACACTAGGATGAAAAATGTAAGGCATTCAATTTCAGGATTGTGTGAGTTCAGGCTCTGTATTTGTACAGACCTAAAAATGAGTACCTTCTTGAATTTTCCAGCTGAGACTACTCTTGCTTCACCATAGTCCTGCCCCTATTGTTAGGCATTGGGAAAATACATAAACTACCGATCAATTACTTGGGGTCAAGGAATTGTCAGTCTGCTGGAGGAGAGGGGTAGAAATAAGTAAATAGTCACATGTGTGATAGCAAGCTACCTTAAGACTTGGAAATTAGGGAAAGCTTCCTGAAGGATGAATTAGGAGTTAGCTAAGTGATTGAGTGGAGTAGGGAGGAAGGATGGAATGTTTTAAGTAGAAGTAGCATATGCAGAGATCTGGAGCAGAGAGCTTGGTCTTTTCCTTGTTTTAATTTAGTGTGCTTTAGAATTGTCTGGGGAGCTTATTAAGACACTGATTACTGGGTCCTGCTCTGCAAAGTTTTTGATTCACTGGGTCTGAGGTGAGGCGTGATAATTTGCATTTCAGATTCCCAGATAATGATGATCTTGCTGGTCTAGAGACTGCCTTTTGACAGCTAGTGCTTTAGAGAAACTATAGATAGTTCAGTACTGATGGGTTTTTTTTTGGTTTGTTTGTTTAGAGTGTGGTTTTGGGAATTGTGGTTTATGAAATAAGCAAATCTAGATGTAGATATAAATTGATGTTGCAAGTATTTGGACTTCATCCTAAAGCTATAGATAATCACTGAAATACTTTAATTAAGCAGGGTTGTAATGGTCTAGTTCTTGTTTTCCAAAGGTGATTCTTGTAGCATTGTAAAGAATGGATTGAAAAATGAGAAGGCTAGAGAAGGGGAGATTAATAAAGAAACTATTTTAATAATCCAGATATAAAATGATGAGGGCCTCTGCTAATGACAGGAGGGAGAGCTTGAAAAATTTGAAAGGCATTAATAAAGCAGAATTGATAGGATTTTGGGAGTGATTGTAGATAGGAGTAATAGTCTTGCATGACTCAAATTTCTGATTTAGATATCTGGATAGAATAGATAGTTGTATTTTTCAATAAGATAGGAAGTAAAGCAAGAGAGGCAGATTTAGGGGAGAGCAGTAGGTGGATATTATAGGTATCAGTATAAATAGTAATTAAAGCTCTGGGTAGATGAGTCCCTCAAAGAAAGTATATGGAGTGAAAAGCTGAAGCTGTAGCCTTGGGGAATACCAGATAGTAAGGATAGTCAAAAGAGCAGTGGGCAAAGCTAGAGAGTGTTTTTAGACGCCTGTGATAAATTTAAAGGGCCTGTTGCATGTGTCTGTAAACTGAAGAGCTGCATTGTTTAAATAATTTAATTTGGAAATAAATTTAGCCTATGAGGTATGTGTGTCTGTATATGTTTATATGCAAATATAAATGATGATGTTGGTATTTTAGTGAGCCTAATCATCTGGACAAACATACTAACTTTAGGTTATTGAATCCTTTAGGTCCTGTTTATAGCAATTCTTCAATAAGAAATGAATTAACAGTGCATCATGACAGTAGGCAAAAATCTGCTAAGAAAACGAATAAGTCATCTAAGAATATTAAAAAAAATACTACTCCACTTAAAAGGCAGAAGACAGCAACTAAAGGCAGCCCAAGAGTACAGAAGGTTTTAAATGCTAAATGTTCTGGAGGTATTGTTGATCATGATGAAATTCCCAGTTGTTCGCAGAGTGAGCCATTGGAAAGTGATGAGGCAGACCTGGCTAAGAAGAAAAATCTTGATTGTTCTAGGTAATATCTGTTATGTATACAATATATACTGTTGTTGTTCAGCATTTAATATTTGTGCTACTTAATCATTTATAGACAGGCAATATTAGCGTAAAGAGCTCTGCACTCTGGCATACCTGGTATTAAATCCAGCCTCTACCATTAGCTGGGTGACACACAGGCAGACTAGTACTCTGCGCTTGTTTCCTCATATTAAAATAGGGAATAGTACATAGCACCTGGGATTATGACTGTTAAATTTAATAAGATATTATTCTCATTCAAGAGTTGCTTTTTTTTTTTTTTTTTTTTTTTTTTTCTAAAAAGACAGTGCCTTACTCTGTTGCCCAGGCTGGAGTGCAGTGGCATGATCATAGCCCACTGTAACCTCAAACTCCTGGGTCACATAATCCTCCTTCCTTAGCTTCCTGAGTAGCTAGAACTACAGGTGTGGACCACTATACCTGGCTAATTTTTAAATTTGTTGTAGAAATGGGGTCTTGCTTTGTTTCTTAGGCCTGTCTTGAACTGGTCTGAAGTGATTCTCTTCTGTTGGCCTACCAAAATAGAGATTCAAAAAACAAACAAAAAACACATAACAGAAAATTTACTATCTTAATCTTTTTTAAGTGTATAGTTCAAATTGTTTCCTTTTAAGTGAGTTTAATGTGATTTCAGCAGTTAGGAATATAGCTTAATACTTTTCTTCTAGGATGATAATAGTTAACATTTTTTGAGTTCATACTATGTGCCAAATATTTGCTAGATGCTTTTACTGAATTCTTATTAGTTGCAACAACCTACTGAGGTAATATATACTTTGTGTTAGAAGCAGTAAGGTGCTGAGGATATACTGAAGTAAATAATAGTGTGTCCTAAAATATAGTAGTGTGTGTCATTATAGTGCATAAAGAAATTCCATACACATTCCGTTTCACTTTTAGGCCATTCTCTACTTTCTTTCCTTTTTTTTTTTTTTTAAATTTTGTCACTGGAATTGGTTTGCTAGTAGTTTATTGAGGTGTTCTGGTTTGTAGCTTACTTTCCCTGTGTTATCTTTGTTTAGTTTTGGTATAAGAGTAACAATTGGCTTTATACAATGAGTTGGTAAATATTATCTCTTCTATTTTTTGAAATGGTTCGTGAAGAATTCTTAATTCTTCTTTGGATGTTTGGTGAAATTCAGCAGTGAAGCCACATGTGTCTGAGCTTTTCTATGTGGGTAGTTTGTTTTTGATTACTGATTCATGGTATTTTGAGATTATTTCCTCTTGAATCAATTTTGATAATTTTTATGTTTCTAGGAGTTTGTCTGTTTCATGTAGTTCATCTAATATGTTGCCATACAATTGTTTCTGGTATTCTCTTGTAATCACTTTTATTGCTTTTGACTCTAATGGTAGGACCCAGGAGGACATTAGAACCTAAAGAAATATACAGTCCCTAGGAATAGTGTATCTTGTTTGCATATATTTGGAGTAAACTAACTACCGAAGAGATGAGCTGAGTCCCTCTAAGGACCTGTTACCCCTCAGTAGGCTGACTACAAACGAATATCAAAGAAAGAATTTTAGTTGTTTATGGATTCTCCAGTAAACCATGATAGATTAACTGTAATATACATCATAAGCCGTTAATCGATAAGGTCTCCTTATGTCCTTGTCACTACCTTCATGGCCAAGTGTTTTCTCCATTACTTTCTTCAGAATTTTTCAAATTAGGACTGTTGGTAGGTCCTAGAAACCAATCTTCTTCCTAAGCTAGTTGCAAGTCTCAGAACCTGAACAGGGTGATCTGATACCCATTATAGCCAATATTATATTGTCTAAGTACCCACCTATGTATTGTTTCTGGAAGAAAATTTTCTTTTGAAGAGGTATAAACAGTCATACATTTATCATTTTTATAGATCTACAGGAAGCTCAAAGAATCAAGGTGATATTATGACTGTACAGAATGTTCCTCTAAAGCCTCAGACATATGGATATACATGTAAGACACCAACAGAGTCAAACTTGGATTCTGAAGAGCATAAGACTTCAATTTTAGAGGAAAGGTATGCATGTATTGTAAGGATCATAGTATTTCCTGACTATACCCATTGCTGTATAACAGATTACCCAAGAACTTTGTTTTAATTTTGTTGTAGGCTTAAAAACACTTACTGTTTCATAGTTTCTATGGGTCAACAATCTGAAAGAATCAGCTAGCTACTTCTGGCTCAGATAATCTCAGGAGGTAGTAGTCAAGATGTCTTTCTGGTTTTAGTTTTTTAAAGTCTTGTCTGGAATTGGAGGATCCACCTGTAAAATGCCTCACTCACATGGCTTTTAACTGGACATCCCAATTTCTTGCTGGCTGTTTCCAGTAGACCTTGGTTTCTTGCCATGTGGCCCTCTCAGCTGCTGAATATAGTAACTGGCTTCCCACAAAGCAAATGTTCCAAGAGAAAGTGTGACTGTGATGGATATCGCAGTGTCTTTTAATGACTGTCTTTGACATTGTACACTGTCACTTCTACTTTATTCTGTTCATTAGAAACAACTTATTAAGTCCACACTACATTCACGGAGAGGTGGAATTGGGCTCCACCTCTTAAAAGGTGGTATATCAAAGAATTTAGACATATAATATTAAAATGACCACCTTTAGTGAGCAAATTGAATTAACCTCTTAATTATATCTGATGTCATATAACCAACCTTTTAAAAAATGAACAAAAGGTAAATTATAGCAAAGTCTCAGACTTTTAAGGGATGGCCGAGATTTCTTTACTATTTGTGAGATTATGACTAGGCTTATCCTGGGTTCATAATAGGTAAAAAGATATCTAGGACTGGGAGAACCTGAATCATCTCTGACAATTTCTGGGCCACATTTTAAATTCCATTGGATTTTGGCTGTAATTTTTTTTTTTTTAATTAAGATACGATTATTTCTTTTTTTTTTAAATATATATAATTTTCACCACAGGATGTTATCATTTGAATTAAGATCATAATTCTGATCTATAAGTTATAAATTCAGTCCTTAACGATGCTTGCCATCAGTTATGGTTGTAACCTTTGTTTAATGCAGCAAGTACCATTAGCCCTCCATATCTGTGGGTTCTGCATCCACTGATTGAGCACTCACTGAGTGAAAATGTTCAGAAAATATAAAATAGTAAAAAGTAACAATATAACATTAAAAATAATACAAATAAAAATACAGTATAACAACTATTTACATACATTTACATTGTATTAGGTATTATAAATAACTTAGAGATGATTTAAATTATATAGGAGGATATGTGAAAGTCATATGCAAATTCTGCACCATGGTATATAAGGCACTTGAGTATCCTTGGATTTTGGTATCCACAGTGGATCCTGGAACCAATCCCCCACAAATACTGAGGGATGACTATATATTCTTGATGACTTGTAACATCATTATTGATTTTATAAGAAAGACTTATGGCAATTTTAGGAGAAAAATGATCATTAAGGCAAATACATTAGATATATGCATTAGAAAAGCATTAATTTTGTGGTTTACTTTTTTTTTTTAAAGTGGACCTTCCACGCTCAAGAATTATTTAATGTCTGCAAAGAAGAATAATGGTGTAGATGATGAGAAAGTTCATGGAAGTTTAGGTAAACTATTTTTTTTTTTTCTGTCTTGAATTTTGTGGCATTATGAATATGGAGTAAGGAGTGCTATGTTTTATTTACATTATCACTGATGGCAAATGTGTATTGAGTACCTACCTCTTAAGACTCTTAGTTAGAAATTAGTAAGACCCTCTGCCTAAGTGAGAGAGAAAAAAATGAGTGACAGTTTTTTAAATGCCATAATGAAATACTGGCATTTAAGGTATCTACTCCAGTATTTAAAATTGTTAAGCTGTTGGTATACATGAAGCAAGATTAGTAATCTGTTGATGATTACTGAAGCTGGGTGATGGGTGTGTTGGGTCCATTGTACAGTTTTCTCTTTTTTCAAACTTGAAATTTTTTTTCTTGAGATGGAATCTCACTCCGTTGCCTAGGCTGGAGTGCAGTGGCATGATCTCGGCTCATTGCAAACCCCATCTCCTGGGTTCAAGCAGATCTCTGCCTCAGTTTCCTGAGTAGCTGGGATTAGAGGCACCCACCACCACGCCTGGCTAAATTTTTTGTATTTTTCTTAGAGAGGGGTTTCACCATGTGGCTGGTCTTGCACTCCTGACCTTGTGATCCACCCTCTTTGGCCCCCCAAAGTGCTGGGATTGTAGCAGGCGTGAGCCACTGTGCCTGACCTTCAATACTTGAAAATTTTTATACTGAAGTTTAAAAATGTTTCTTAATAGATAATTTTATAATTTTTTTATGCTCCTAAAAATGCATGTTTGATTGTAATTTGTTATACTGGTTTTTTTTCCCCTTAATAATCACTATTTGTTTAACTTTTTGATTTTTTCCCCCATCATTAGATTTATGGTGTTATTTTTCTTTTTTAACTTGAATGCTTTCTGTGTTTTTCTGCTTTTTCTTTGGTAAAGAAGCAGCATTGAATTTCCCTCATTATAGTTTTGGCTTAATTTTATAGGCTTTGCTATGTAGTGTTATTGTAGTATACTCTGAATTATAGTGATTTTTCTTTGACTCGGTAGTTATTTAAGAGTAGGTTGTCAAGAGCTTGGTCTCCAGAGTCATGGACCTGGGATTTGTTCTAGCTTTACTGCTTACTGGCTATGTTATCTTTTTTTTCCCCCATTCACCACTGATCAGAAAGCATCACTATGCTATCTTGAGTAAGAAATTTTAGTGTTCTTAAACTTCAGTTTCCTTATCTGTAAAATGATATCAGCTGTAATCCCATAAATTGATATAAAGATGAATACATGTTCTTTGCTTAGTTTAATATCTGGTGTGTATAATTTTGGCTGTTATCTAAGAAGTTGTGTTTTATTCTTTTATTATTTTCCGGTTTTGTTTTGTTCTGGAAAACTTGGCCTATGTTATTTATTGGTTGAATTCATTAAGGTTTTCTTTGTGTTCTAATATCCTAGTTTATACTTAGTTTTTATAATTTTTCCATCAGTGCTTGAAAAGAATAATTTATGTACAGATGGGGACTTAAAGATATATATACAGTTATTATTTTGTTGATAACACAAGTCAATATATTTTTTGAATATATTTTGAATACTTAAGGAATTCTTAAATATTTATGAAATATCACTGTATATTCTAGGGCTTAGGTATGTGTCAGTGAATAAAACTGACAAAAATTTCTCCCTCCTGGAGCGTAATTTCTGGAAGGGGCAGGATGGCAGACAATTTAAAAGGATAACAAAATTTATGATTTGCTGGTTGTTGAGAGTAGAAACAAAGTAGGGGTTTTAGGGTGGCAAATGAAGTTCACACTTTTAGGTAGGTGGGCAGAGAAGTCCTCACTAAGGAAGTGATCATTTGAGCAAAGTTGTGAAGAGATGAGACAGTAAACCATGCAGCTGTCTGGGTAAGTAGTGTCCCAGGTAGAGGGAAGATGAAGGGCAAAGGTTCTGGTGTGGTAGAGTTCATCTTGATTGAGGAACACCAGGAAGGCCAGGGGGTTAGAGCAGAGGAAGAGAGAGCAAGTAGCAGGAAAAACGATGTCACAGAGGCAGCGGAATGAAAGATCACATAGGATGTTAAAGCCTTTTATTAAGAGAGATGGGAAGCCATTAGAGGGTTTTGAACAGAAGACCTGTATTAACAGAATCACTGCAGCTGCTATGTTAGGAGTTGACCGATGGGGTTGAGGGGACAGAGGAAGTTTGGAAGCTAGGAGACTGGCTGGAGAGATGTTGAAATAATCGTAATGAGAGGTGTTGGCTTAGACCAGTGTGGTACCAGTAGAAGATGGAGAGCAGTAGGAGGATTTTTAAGTGTTTTTGAAGGTAAAGACAACAGGATTTTCTGATGGAGGAGATGTGATGTATAAGAGAAAGAGTATTAGAGATAACTTGAAGGTTTTTGGCCTGAGTACCTGGAAGAATAGTAATATTGTTTCCTGATCTGGGGACTATTGGGGAATAAGCAAACTTGGGGGAAAATAACAGGATGTTAGATTTGGACATAATAAGCTTGATAGTATTCTGAACCTTTGTATTCTTACTTTTGATTTGAGATCTGTTAATGACTGCTAGAGTTGAAGTGTGCCACTCCAGCTGTCTTTCTCTTTGTATTTCCTGTAGTCTTTGTTATGTACATTTCAGTGCTGTTACTAATCACATAAGCCCTCATTCATATGGAAGGTACCTGTTTTGGTCAAATCTCCTTCATTGTGTTAAATGCTTTATACTTTGTAGTTTGTTTTGTCTAATATTAATATTGTGACCTCCACTTTCTTTTGGTTGGGTGTTGTTTCTTATCCTTTTATTTAACTTTTATTAGAAAATTAAAAGTGGCTCAGAAACAGCACATGATTGAATTGTTTTTGACTTGCTGTGTCAGTATATTTTCCTTTAATAAAATGTTTAATATATTTACACTTATTGTCAACAGATATATTTGTTACTTCTTAGTTAAGGTGGTAAACATTCTCACATATTCCAGCAAGGACTCAGGATTTTTCTTTTTTAAACACAATGAACCACCAGCTAAATAGAGAACATAATCTTGAGTCATGATCTTTTTTTCTTTACACAATCTGCCTGTTGCTGTTTTGCTTCATGAGAGTTAATGCTTATGAATAGAAATTTGAAGGCAGACTTATTTCTTGTTTCCTTTGTAGATAACTAGTTTTCTTCCATCTCCAGGCTTACTAGGATCCTTTAATCTTTGAAATTTAGGAGTTGTCCTTTGTGTTAGTCACTTAAAAAATAATTTATTTGGAAATAATTTGAGTCTTAAACAGAGATCCCATATCCCCTCATTGAGATTTCACAGTTGTCCACATTTTTCAGCATATTTCCATCTTCCTCCCTGCCTCTTCTAATAAATATTTATACACGTTTATTGTCATTCATCTTTTTCTAAACTATTTGGGAGGGAATTATAGACATATTATTTCTCTTAAATACCCCATAATGCATTTCAGTGAGACAAGGATATAAATACCCTCTAACTACCCAAATAAGAAAATCAGCATTAGTACAACAGATTCATTCACAGATTCCATTCAGATTTCACCAGCAGTTCCTTTTCTCTTCTAGCTCAGGATCCAATCCTGGATCTCAGTGTTTCTTTTTCCTTCTGGTTCAAGATCCAGTCATCAGTCCTGCATTTAGCTGTCACGTCCCTTAGTTTCCTTCAACATGGAACGGTTCCTTAGGTTTTTTTTTCCTAACTTTCCTGACACCAACATTTTTAAAGAATAAGCCTTCTAGGCCGGGCATGGTGGCTCACGCTTGTAATTCCAGCACTTTGGGAGGTCAAGGCGGGTAGATCACAAGGTCAGGAATTTGAGACTAGTCTGGCCAAGATGGTGAAATCCTGTCTCTACTAAAAATACAAAAATTAGCTGGGCATGGTGATAGACACCTATAATCCCAGCTACTCAGGAGGCTGAGGCAGAGAATAGCTTGAACCCGGGAGGCAAAGGTTGCAGTGAGTGGAGGTTGTGTCACTGCAGTCCAGCCTGGGCAACAGAGCGACACTGTCTCAGAAAAAAAAAAAAAAATACAGCCTTCATATCTTTAGAATGACCCTCAGCCTAGGTCTTTCTGTTTCCTCATGATCAATGGGTGCTATTGATAATGACAGTAATACTACATAAATGATACTACAGGGTTAGGAGTTAGGGGTTGTAATTTGTCCATCACATCACACAGGAGGCACACAGTGTTGACCTTCTACATGATCCTTTTTTTTTTTTTGGTTTTGGGTTTTTGTTTTTTTTTTTGAGACAATCTTGCTCTGTCACAGAGGCTGGAGTGCAGTGGTGTGATCTCAGCTCACTGTAACCTCCGCCTCCAGGGTTCAAGCAATTCTTGTGCCTTAGCGTCCTGAGTAGCTGGGATAACAGGCATGCGCCAACACATCTGGCTGAGTTTTGTATTGTTAGTAGAGATAGGCTTTCACCTTGTTGGCTAGGCTGGTCTCAAACTCCTGACCTTAAGCGATCTGCCCACCTCAGCCTCCCAAAGTGCTGGGATTACAGGTGTGAGCCACCACGCCTGGTCGACATGATCTTAATCCTGATCACCTGTTCACATTTTTGTCTGCCAGGTTTCTCTACTGTAAAGCCACTGCCTTTCTCTTATAATTGATAAATATTGTGGAGTGATATTCTGATACTATTTTAATAACCTGTTTCTTGTCAAACCTCCATCCGCCAACTTTAATGTACGTTGAATACCCCCAGTTGAATTATCGGCTACTAATGATGTCACATTATTTTCTATTTTCTGTTCTTTTATTCCTTCCCCATTAATTAGTTGCCAGTTTTTCTCTGCCATGCCAGTTATTTTATTCATTATTCATTTTATTTATATCAATATGGACTACTAGGTTTATATTTTATGTCATGTGGTTGTAATCTTGATCATTTATTGTGATACATTGTGATATATTTGGTCATTTGATTTTCTTTAAGCTGGTCTCCGTGTGCTTTTGTTATGATTCTATGAATACTGTCTTTGTTTTTTGGCATAAGATATTCCAGTCTTTTTTCCCTGCTCCAGCTCTGGGATCAATTACTGCTCCAGGAAACCTGGTTATTTTCAGTGGAGGATGGCATTTAGAAACCAAGATTTGGGCACTTGGTGTGATCCTTGTTTGGGATACCATTGCTTCTAGGCTTTTTCAGTGGACAGAGATAGGATATAGATACATACACGTACACACATACACGTATGTATACACTGTATATAATACAGGCTTCTATGTCTATATTTATATTTATACAATCATGCCTTGTTTTAGCATGCGTTGTGTCATTGTACTTTGCAGATACTACTTGTTTCACAAATTGAAGGTTTGTGACAACCCTGTGTTGAGTAAGCCTTATTGGCACCATGTTTTTCAGTAGCATGTGCTCACCTTGTGTTTCTGTCACATTTTGATAATTTTCACAGTGTTTCAGACCTTTTCATTACTATGTCTTTTATGGTGATTTGTGATCAGCGATCTTTGACGTTACTATTGCAATTGTTTTGGGGTATCATAAACCACACCCATATAAGAAAGTGAACTTAATAAATGTATTCTAACTGCTCTGCCAACTGGCCAGTTCCCCATCTTTCTCCTTCTCCTCGGGCTTCCCTATTTCCTGAGAGGTCAGTAATAACACTACAATGGCTTCTAAGTGTTCAAGTAAAAGGAAGAATCACACATTTTTCACTTTAAATCAAAAGCTAGAAATGATTAAGCTTAGTGAAGAAGCATGTCAGAAACCGAGATAGTCCATAAGCTTGGCCTCTGGCACCAAACAGCCAATTTATGAATGCAAAGGAAAAGTTCTTGAGGGAAAATAAAAGTGCTACTCCAGTGAACACATGAATGATAAGAAAGGGAAACTGCCTTAATGCTGATATAGAGAAAGTTTCAGTGGTCTGGACTGAAGATTATACAAGCCACAGCATTCCTTTAAAGCCAAAGTCTAATCCAGAGCAAGACCCTAACTCTTTTTAATTCTGTGGAGGCTGAGAGAGGTGAGGAAGCAGCAGAAGAAAAGTTTGCAACTAGCAGAGTCTGGTTCATGAGGTTTAAGGAAAGAAGCTGTTTTCATAACATAAAAATGCAAGATGAAGCAGCAAGGTCTGATGTAGAAGTTGCAGCAAGTTATCCAAAAAATCTAGCTAAGATAATTGAAGGTGGCTTCACTAAACAACAGATGTTCACCGTAGACAAACAGCCTTCTATTGAAAGAAGATGTCATCTAGGACCTTCATAGCTAAAGTGGAGAAGTCAATGCTTGACTTCAAAGCTTCCAAGGACAGGCTGACTCTCTTGTTAAGGGCTAATACAGCTGGTGACTTTAAGTTGAAGCTAGTGCTTATTTACCATTCCAGAAATCCTAGAGCTGTTAAGAATTATGCTAAATCTACTTTGCTCTGTTAGTAGAACAACAAAGCCTGGGTGACAGCACAACCATGACAATGCACCAGGCCACCCAGCAGCTCTAATGCACGAGGACGAGGAGATTAATGTTGTCATGCCTACTAACACAGCATCCATTCTGCAGCTCATGCATGGATGAAGGAATAATTTGGACTTTCAAGTCTTATTATTTAAGAAATACATTTTATAAGGCAGTAGCTGCTATGAGTAGTGATTCCTCTGATGAGTCTGGAAAAAGTAAATAAAAAATCTTCTGGAAAGGATTCACTATTCTAGACGCCATTAAAAATATTTGTTTTATGGGAGGAGGTCAAAATATCAATATTACCAGGAGTTTGGAAGAAGTTGATTCCAACCCTTCTGGGTAATTTTGAGGGCTTCAAGACTTCAATGAAGGAAATAACTAGATGTGGTAGAAATAGCAAAGGAGCTAGAATTAGAAGTGGAGTCTGGAGATGAGACTGAATTGCTGCAATTTCATGACAAAATTTGAACAGATGAGGAGTTGCTTCTTATGGATGAACAAAGAAACTGATTTCTTGAGGTGGGATCTACTCCTGGTGAATGTGTTGTGAACCCTTGAAATGACCAAAAAGGATTTAGGATATTCTATGAACTTAGTTGATAAAGCAGTGGCAGGCTAGAAGTGTTTGACTGTGGTTTTGAAAGAAGTTCTACTGTGGGTAAAATGCTATAAAACAGCATTTTATATGCCCCAGAGAAACTTCATTGTTGATTTGCTTTAAGAAACTACTACAGACACACCAGCCTCATCAGTCAGCAGTCATCAACAATGAGGCAGAATAGCCTACCAGCAAGAAGATTAAAACTCACTGAAAGCTCAGATGATATTTTTATTTTTATTTTTTATTATTTCTATTTTTTGGGACATAAGCCTACTCTGTTACCCAGGCTGGAGTGCAGTGGTGCAGCCTTGGCTCCTTGAAACCTCTTGCCTCCTAGATTCAAGTGATTCTCATGCCTCAGCCACCAAGAGTAGCTGGGATCACAATGTTTGTGTCACCACACCCAGCCAATTTTTTTATTTTTAGTAGAGACAGGGTTTCACCATGTTGGCCAGGCTGGTCTTGAACTTCTGGCCTCAAGTGATCTGCCCTTTTGGGCCTTCCAAAGTCCTGGGATTACAGGAGTGAGCTACTATGCCTGGCTGATCTTTAGCATTTTTAATAATAAAATATTTTTAAATTAAGGTATATGTACACTGAGTTTTTGGACCTAATGCTCTTATACACTTAATATACTGTAATATAGTAAAGACATAACTTTTGGCCCGGCATGGTGGCTCACACTGTAATCCCAATACTTTGGGAGGTGAGGCAAGCAGATCACTTGAGTCCAGGAGTTTGAGACCAGCCTGGCCAAGATGCTGAAAACCTGTTTCTACTAAAAATACAAAAATTAGCTGGGCATGGTGGTGTGCATCTGTGGTACCGGTTACTCGGGGAAAAACAGAAGGATCATTTGCTCCCAGGAGTGGAGGCTGCAGTGAATCATGATCACACCACTGCACTGCAGGCTGGGTGACAGAGTGAGACTTTGTCTCAAAAAACCAAAACAAAACAACAAAAGAACCAAAATAAATAAATAAATAAAATAGTGTGACTTGCTTTATTCAATATCTGTGTTATTATAGTAGTCTAGAACTGAATTGGCAATGTCTCTGGGATATGCCTCTATTTATTATAAGTTCACATTACTACCCCTACTTCCATTTCAATATAGACTTCTCCTTTCCCGTTTTTATAAACCTCTTCTCAGTGAGAAACCTGACTCCCGTTATTCTCAGTATATTTGCTTGTTTCTGTGGTTCCTTATATGACTCTGGCGCTCCCTCCAAGACCCAGTGTCACAGGAGAATTTCCAACAGAGGTCAGACCTCTACTTATTCTAGTGGAGATTGCATGGGAAATTGGGTTTTTGGCAGTGGGGGTTGGGGTGGAGTGGGGGGATACACTAGATTTATTGAGTTAGACTTCATATACCCTATAATTAGTCCACTTGTGGTATACAAATCAATGGTATGTAGTAATTGCCGTAGTCGATGTTAGAACTTTTCATCACCCCCAAAAATAAACCCCTTTACCCTTTAGTAGCCACTTTCCATTTCCTTTCCCTGGGCCTGTGCAACTCCTAATCTACTTTCGATGTCTACAGATTTGCCTATTTCTGACAGGGAAATTAGATGTTATGATCCCTGAAGTTTCTTCCAAACCAATAATTTTATAAAATATCTAATTCAATCATTCTTAATAATTTTTTGTTGTTTTTCTTTCATGGATTCATTTGAGAATATGATAAAAACTCAGACCTACTTTTTAGAGGAAAAATGCAAAATTATATTTACAACTTTAGGTGTTTCATGGACATTGTGTCCAGTTGTATATTGCTGCATAATTAACCACTCTAAAACTTAGAGGCTTAATACAATGATTGATTTATCTTTTATGGTTCAATGAATTGACTTGGCTTAGTTGGGTAATTGTCACTTGAGTATGCTCATGAATTTAAAAGTACAAGTTGCTGGTGCTGGAGTCATCTGAAAGTTCAACTGTGTTGGACATTCAAGGTAACTTCTTCACTTATATATTTGGACCCAGCTAGGAGAGCTGGGACACTGAGGGTTGCCCAAGCAACTCTTTTTCCCCATGTGGCTTTTCTATGTGACCACATTGGGTTTCACAGCATGGCAGTCTTATGCTAATCTTCATATTGTTGCTGTCTTCCCCCAGAGTGAGATCCCAAGACTTCTAGATGGAACCTGTAGATTGTTTTAGGACTTAGCCTTCTAAGTCCCAGGCATCACTTCTGTTGTATTCTATTAGTTAAGCAAGTCACTAACTTGAGCAGAGATTGAAGGAGAAGGGAATGAGACTCTGCTTCTTGATATGGAACATTTGTGCATAGAAAGGGAAAGAAGTGAAGACAGTCATCTTTAGGTGCTATTTACCAAAGTTGAGAACCCCTAAGCTCATTGGCACACTGCTAAATTCGGTACACTTAAACTATTTCAGAACTTTATGAGAAAGGTACAGATAGTTCATTAATAACATATTAATTAACCATTATCAGTACCTACATCTTTTGTTGTTGTTGTTTGTTTGTTTTTTAACAGTTACACTCTTTAGAATACAAACCAGGGTGTCCAAGGGAGAGAATACAGTCATGGGTTCTTAGTTTCTGTTTCTGGTTGGGTCAGTAAAACCCATTCTTCATCCCTCTTTTCCACTTGTCACTAGAGATACAAACTAAAAACCATGGTTTCAGGCTGCTAAAGGCCTAAAACAAAGCAAAACAGAACATAACAAAATAAAGCGAATTGGACAAGCTTGTAATATATTCATTGTAGCAAAGTCTACAGAAATACTTCTTTTCCTTAATTTTTATAACTGAGCAGTGAAAAGCAAAAGGAGTAATGAAATATATTATCAGATCAAATTTTATTTAAAATACTCATACTGAAATTGACCAGGAAACTTTAACTTAACTTGGAATTAGCAGTCATTGCTCATGATATTATCTTTTGCATTTTGTAGGTGACTCAAGAGTAAAACGATCTAAAGTGATACCAAAGAGCAGAATCCATCACAAATTAGGTAAGAATATTTTCTTTTAATATTTTTATTGAGAAAAATACTTTCATTAAGTTTGTTTCTAAATATACTTAATTTTTCTTAAGGAGGAGAAATACTATTACTTGGATTAATTGGTAGGTAGATAAAATTACATACTTAGTTTTTATGAATTTCATATTAAGTCACCACAAGCTACTGAGTTAGTCTATTGTCCATTTATGAATTCTATTGCCTTCTCACTTTTTCCCCCATAGTAAGGGGGCATGATCCTCCCTTATCTATGAAGCTAGTGTGGAGTATTTTATCAAAGAAACTGTAACTACCCGGTAGATGGCTTCCTTGACGGCATCTGCTTCCACTTTAATCCAGTTGACTCCTAAACAAAGCAGTAGCTAGGGTAGTAAGTAGACAAAGCTGTGAACTGGGGAACCCGTGGAGTTGCCCATGTAAAGATTAACAATCTATGGTTCCCAAAGAGATATTTGCCAGTCAAGATACATGTTCCCACCTTTCTGTGATGTTGGGTGGCTTTTAATGTTTCTCTCTTTATTTGAGGCTGTGAGTGCTCTTGCACTTATACTTAGAGATTACCAGTAGGAGTGAAGCTTTCTCTCATTGCCTCACTCAAGAACTTAGCTCATGTCAGTATTTCGTGAGCCTGTATGATGAGAAACTGCTATACCTCTTGATACTTAATGCTTGTCTTGGAGTGAAATGATGAATCAGGAGTAGAGAAAAGGAAATAAAAATGTTCCTGATCAGGAGCTTCAGTGTTTACAGAGAGGAACATTAAGCATTATGCCTAAGAGCAGTAGGCAACTTCCTGTTAGCTTCAGGATAGCTCTAGCAAACAAAAAATAGGCAAGAACATGGGAATTTGAAGATACAGCCAACAAACTCAATTTAATATACAGAACTTTGCATTGTTCAGATGAGTGTACATTTGACATTGTAAACACTGGGCAATATTAAATTTTTAAATATTTGCCAATTTGGTAGCCTGTTTTTCCTTTGGCATTTCTTTAATTATTAGCATAAATATATGTTTTGTTTTTCTAGTCTTTTGTCTAGAAAAATATTTATGTTCTAAAAAATAAAGCATTCATTTTCTAAAAGATAGTCTTTCCACTGCCAAGTGCCATTAACTAAAAAACATATGTATATACTTTTGTCTGATACCTTTTTATAGTATTGCCCTCCAACACACCAAATGTTCGCAGGACCAAGAGAATACGTTTGAAACCTTTGGAGTACTGGCGAGGGGAGCGAATAGATTATCAAGGAAGGCCATCAGGTAAAACTTAGTTTATGCTTATAATGTCTACCAATAAAAAATCTGTTTACTATGTGCCAGACACTGCACTACATGTTTATATACATTACCTTACTTAATCATCACGCCCGAGATTTTGATAATAGGATTTAAATTCATTTTTGTCTGATTAATGTAGATATGCTGGTATTTTCTCTTTGGTAGCTGAGTGTTGTTATTCCTGTATTATCAGACAAGATTTATAATTGCATAATATAAAGTATTAGAACATGAGAAAATTATAACTGGTAAAGGTAATATAGTTTCCATTATTATTCCTGTTAACCATTTTCCATTTCCTCATAGATTTCTACAAAGTAATGTAGGGTGGGCAGGAAAGTATAATGTTAATCTTAGAGTTATTTTCTTATTTTTGTAGAGATGAGGCCTTGCTATGTTGTCTAGGCTGGTCTCTATCTCATGGGTTCAAGCAATCTTCCTGCTTTGGCCTCTCAAAGTGCTGAGATTACAGATGTCAGCCACCGTGCCTGGCTATATTTCTTTCTTTGATAGATATATCTAAGTCAAAGGACTAAAGGCATGTGGATTTCTATAAATAGTTCATTGCTAGCCTCCCCCCTCCTTTTTTTTTTTAAAAAGCTCACACTGATGACTATTGATTTCAGTTGAGCAACAGAGACCATCTAATTATGTTTCATCATCTAATCCTGTTTTATCAGCTTCTGATTTAGGGTGGTAGAGACATAATGAAATGGGTTAGTTTTGTGTTATTTCAACTATTAGCTGCAGACATATATATTCTTTGATACTTTGAAAGGAAGGGTGCCATATTAAATTTAAGGAGTTTTGTTTCAAGCTTTTCTCTTTCCCGTGTATATTTTCCTTTTTTTGTTAAATTTCAGGAGGATTTGTGGTTAGTGGAATACTCTCTCCAGACACAGTACCATCTAAAAGGAAGGCAAAAGAAAACATTGGAAAAGTCGGCAAAAGAGCTAATAAGAAAAGGATCTGTCTTGATAACGATGAAAGAAGTATGAACTTATTTATGAAAGTAACTTTTAGATTTTATTTTAAATAGGATTACTTTGAGAAGAAGCTCTTTGCAAAATATGAAATTTACTTCCAAAAACTTCAGAAATAATACTATAGGTAAAATTGATTTTTTAATGTCTACTTCCTTCCAAATGGAAAGTAAGCTAATTTTATTCTTAAAAAAGTATTAATATCATTGTATAAATTTCTTCATGAGTAAATTGCCTAGTCAAATGAAACCTACCTTTCCTATGCCCAAATGATGGTTAAAATAGACATTTCTAAAGTGTATTATATACCTCTTAAAGATTATGCAAAACATCAATTCCTTGATGATGCAAGAGTTTGAGTTTACACATTGTAGGCTTACAAAAAATAGGAAGTTTAGGGTGTTTGCTTTTATGTTAAATTATTATGGGTCTTAAATTTGAATTTTTGTATATCAGAGTGCTTATAAATAGGAAGAGACTTGTGCTTTTGACAATTTTCTTTTATAACTTCTGTATACCTATATTTTATACTGAATGTTTTTTATAATTGAGAATAATTTTAAGTAGTTTGTATTTCAATGGTATTTCTTTTGCAGAGACTAGCTTAATGGTAAATCTAGATATACCTCTTGGAGATCCTTTGCAGCCAACAAGGGTAAAGGACCCAGAAACAAGAGAGATTATTCTCCTGGGTAAGATCAGGGCTGTTATTGAAAATACTTAAACAACTTGTAAGAAAACATTGCTTGCTTGATGATTGGCCTGTCTACTTTCCCTTTCTCTTCCCAGTTCTTTCAGTGCTAAAGTCCAGAAGAGAATCTAATTCTAATAAGCAGTCTATGTGAAGACAACTGTGGGGGAATATTGATGTCAGACAGCCTTCAGGGTACACTTAATACCCTGGACTTGTCCTCTAGGGCACAAGTGCTATAATCAGGAATGTTGTCTCCCTCAACAGGGTCTAGGCCTTCTTTGACCAGGAGGACACATGGGGACAGAGGCTGTTTATAGGGAATTATAGATAGTTGGCAGACTCAAGGATCCTCTTACCACAAGCCCAAGCAGGGATTGTGGGGAGGGCACAGACAAACTTTTGGGCCTATGAATGGCAGTAATGTTACCTGGGATATGAATCCTTTGTGAGGATGACTAGCAAGGGCATCAGTCAGTTGTACAAATGCAAATGCCAGCTCTAAGCTTAAAGACGGTGCAAAGTCCTGGAAGCCTCCTGCTGTATTGGATAGGCATTAAATATTTTAGCCTGTAGCAGGTCATGGAAGATCCCCAAGGGATGGGCTATAGTGAGGTGGGAGTTTATGGATTACTCAGCTATTTACCAACCAGACCATATATATATATATGGTCTGGTTGGTAAATATATATGTATATGTGTATATACACATATATACACACACAAGAAATATTTAAATATTTCAATAACTGTTAGGACTGCACCATTGAGTACTAAGGGCTATTTTTCCAAAATCAGAGGAGAAGGTCAAATCAGAAAGGTTGTAATGGTAGCCAGGCATGTTGGTGTGTGATTGTAGTGCCTGCTACTCGGGAGACTGAGACAGGAGAGTTGCTTCAACCTGGGAGGCGGAGATGGCAGTGAGCCAAGATCGCGCCACTGTACTCTAGCCTGGACATGTAGAGCAAGACTCTGTCTCAAAAAAGGTAATAATAAAATAAATAATTAATTTTTTAAGAAAAGAAAGGTGGTAATTGTACTCCTAATTAAAATGTGGACTATGAAAATAGACTTCTTTTATTATCTTAACATCTTTGCAAAGTTATCTTTTATATTCAGATTATTTGGCAACAGAACAAAGAAGTATGAGTTTTGTTTAGTGTCTTAACTGAAAGCATTGTTGTACTCTGCCAGGTTATTGTGACTATTGTCAGGAGTTCATTTTTTGTTTTTTGAATCTACTATATATTTGTTTCTATATCATGTAGTCTGTAGGATCACTAACATTCCTAAATATCCTGGGAAATAGAATCAGAGGTTGATGACAGAATAATTTATTAATTATAGATCTGGAAATGTTTGTTAAGTAATGGAAATTTTTGTAAGTGAGATAGTAATTTCTGAACAACCATTAGAACTTGGTTTCTCACAAATTTTACCTAATAAAAATTAGCATCAGTCAAGCAGTACAAAAAAGCTTGTTGGCATGGTGATGATGCATTCATGGTTTATTTTAAACTTCAAAAATAGGGAATTCTTTTTAGTATCTCGGCTAATCTTGTTTTCTGTCTTAGTTACCGTAATACTGTCATTATTATTATTCAGCTGGAACTAACAGTGCTAACTTTGTGCCAGACAATATTTTAAATAGTTTACACACATTAACTCATTGAGATTCACAGCAGCTCATTAACATCAAATAGAAGAACCTATTATTAATTTCATTTTACTGAAAAGGAAATTGAGGCACAGTGAGAGAGAGCTTAAGTAACTTGACTAAGCTCATACAGCTTTTAAGACAGACAACAATTTGACCTCTGGCATTCTATCTCCATCTTTGATCTGAATCAGTTCTGTCCCTCTAAGGCAGATTTATATCCAGAAATAACTCTTTATTATATGTATGTGTATATGTTATATCGTTGACCAATAATAATTGCTTTTGTTTTGTATTTGTATTACTGTTTTACTCCTAGATCTTATAAGGCCACAAGATACATATCAATTTTTTGTTAAGCATGGTGAGTTGAAGGTATATAAGACATTGGATACACCTTTTTTTTCTACTGGGAAATTGATATTAGGACCACAAGAAGAAAAGGGAAAGCAGCATGTTGGCCAGGATATATTGGTAAGTATATATATTTTTTTATATATTTATGTTTTGCCATAGGTAGAACTCTGATTTATTGGATTTGATGAGACATTAAAATGCTGTTTCCTCAGGAATTAAATTCTATTACTACACTATGCAGAAAAAGGTTTTGATTTGTTCAATCTGTTTAGAGTCTACCAGCCAATAGTTATTTGAAAGTATCTGTTCTCTGCATAGCACTGTATTCTTTTGAGATTTAGAAATTTAAGGAATGTTTTTTAGTTAAAAACATCTTAGAATATAGATTTGCAAACAAATCATTAGGATTTTAGTGCTGGGGAATTATAGAGGTTAAGTCTAATTCCAGATTTCTATGATAATGTGTAGAGAAATAGGTTAAAAAACTTCTTCATTAATGACTTATATCCCAGTTAGCCTTATTTGATCATTATACATTGCATACAGGTATTAAAATGTGACATGTACCACAAAAATATCTAAAACTATTATATATTAATAAAACAGTAACCTGAAAAAAAAGTAAATAAAAATGAGTGAGATAATAATAATTAAAAAAAAAACTACTTAACTATTTAGCCATAGACTCAGGACTAAGAGCTAGTTGCTTCTATAAGTACTAAGTAATGTACCATTATATGTAACAATATTACTGGCTGAAGTTACAATGAGATTCAAGGTGAATCAGTCTATATCTTTCTTCCTGTTTATCTCCTTTTCTCCACCCTCACCCCCATTTAGAGACATATACCTCTGCAACATTGGTCTGTTTTTTTTGTGTATGTGCGTGTGTGTGTGTGTGTGTGTGTGTGTAACAGGAATATATATATACGTGTGTATGTACACACACGTATATATATAATATTTGTGTTTGAGTTTGAAAATTATAGAATATAGAATTTGAAAAGCATCAGATTTTGAGAATACTTATCAGCAGTTAAAAAATATAACTAAGGAACATTTTTTAGTCTGACATTTCAGGAGTCTGAAATCCTGCTATTGAAGTATCACACCCAGAATGATTCTCTTTAATGACAAACTTACTTTAAGTTCAAAAAGGAGGGAAAAAATGTGAAGTTTATATTAACAAAGTTAATATTAACTTTGAGTTTATATTAACAAAGTTAATATTAACTTTGAGTTTATATTAACAAAGAAGGGCAAATTTAGGCAAGGCAAGGAAAGGTACATATGAAAGTCAAAGATTATTACTGCATCAGTATAGCTAGAATCATGATTTAAAATAATTTAGCAATATTCATTAATTCAAACTTAAAATGTTATAGACCTCCAGTTACTGTGAGTGAAAACACACTTTAAAAGTATAGATGGTCCCTGTATAATAATAAAAGAATCATTAATAATGAGGATAAAAATGAAATGTCATCACTGAACTAATAGCAGTTACCCATTCAACTGTCATGCTTTTATTATACAAAAGGAAATTTGAATAGTAGATGTTTGAAAGTATGTAATCTGGCTAATGTTCAAAGGAATACACGTTTAAATCCAAATGATACTTTATAATTACTGAGTTAGTGGAAATTATTAGACAAGCATTTATACCCTGTGACCGGTGAATCTCATTTCTAGAAATTTTTCCTAAAGAAATAATTTGAAAGTTCAGGGAAGAGGTGCTGAACATACGTAGTTATTTATTTAATCATTGACTAATTGCAGAAATGAGAAATCACTACAATGTGCTACAGGAAGAAAATGTTACATTTTAATTTTGACTTAGTAATGAGATAAACCATTTTATGATATAATAAACAATTATACCGAACTTAAGTGTTTCAGGCACTGCACTAAGCACATTCAAATAGTTTGAGCATTTTATTTTGAAGAATAGCCGTATATGAAGACCCTTGTGATAAATGTTTAAGTAAACGTGCAACATCAAAGTTCTTTGTATATAGTATCTATTTTTCTATTTTTCTAACTAGGAAAAATGTACATATTAAAAAATGTAAATAAAATCTTGAAGAGAATACACGTTTTACTATGTGATGATATAGTTATTGATTTTATTTCTTATATATATTATCTTTAACTTTTTATAATGAAAATTAAAGCTAAAGTTTTTTAAAAATAAGACTAGATTTTTACATTTTTAAACATGAAGCACACTTAACTATATGTTTTTGAAAAAAATAATAAAGATGACAAGAGGGAGAACCAGCACAGGCCATTAACTCTCTTTCAAACACAATACTAGAGAATATAGAAGATGAAACAGTAGTAGATTTGTTAAAACCAAACTGCAGAAGAATTTACAAATTAATTATGAGAGCTGGTTGTAGAACTTCCCAGGAGACAAGAAGGAAATTAAGAAGTAGAAAATATTAAAGTTAAATAATATAGAGAAGAGAGATAAACATGCCTAAATTCAAATAATAAGAATTTCAGGAGAGAGAAAAAACCCAATGAAAAATGATTGATAATATTTTTTTAATTAGACAATAAATGTTCCAGAACTAAAAAAACAAAAACGTGACAGCAACCTACTTAAAAGAGCCGGTTTCTTGTGGAAATGCCTGATTCTAGGCCTTAATCTGAGCTTGGAATTGATAGCAAACTACTAATCATAAACCATTAAGATTGGGTCATGTTTCAGGTTCCAACTTGAAGATGCCACCACCGGCTGACTAAGATATGAAATTTGAGTATTAATAACAATAACTTCATTAGATTGATATGTATCAATTATATCTAAATCCATGAATTTGTAAGACGATCATGACCACTACTACTACAAATGAACCTAATTTGTTACTATTGGAGGCGTCTAGGAAGCTAACTCATTTTAACAACTGATTCTGCCTTTTCTATATAAACTCTGTTATTAGGTAATCAAATAATAGATGAGAATTTTGTTCATATTAGAGTAATATTCCAGCTAATGAGTGAAGAAGGAATGTTTGAGTTGAAATATTACCATTTTGCAATCCCTGATAAGTTATTGGATCTAGGCATCAAGGCTCGGCTGAGTGGCTGTTAGATGTCTAAAAAGAACACAACCAGGCATTATGTGCCTCCTGATAGAAAAATACAACACTATCCAATAAGTAGTCTTTCCTCCCTTATGTCTTAAGAAAAGAACAAAAAAACATAAACAATCAAAAAAACCCAAAAGCAAATAAAAAACCTGAATCTGATCAAGTCAGTAGATTTAACTACCAGTTTACAAGAAATAAAGGATGGTGAAACCTTTCAAATGACACCTGAGGATGTGATTAGCAAAATCCAACTGCATGAAGATTTTCATGGCAAGCTGCTTAATGTTTTCAATAAATTAAATGTAGGAAATAAAAAATAACCAGGTGGAACCTAGGGAATCAGGGTTTCTCAGCCACGGCACTAGTAACATTTTTCATTAGATAATTTTTTTTTGTTGTAGTGGAGACTGTCCTGTTTGTTGTGGGATATTTAGAAGCTTACCTGACCTATGCTCATTAGATTCCAGTAGCAGCACTCTAGTTGTGACAAAATTAAATACGTCTTCATAAATTGTCAGTTGTCCTAAGAGGCAAAATCACCTTGATTGAGAACCACTAATTAATATTGAGTGAGAAATTTAATAAACAGATCAACAATCACTGTATGCGGTGCTAATTTGGATCCTGATTCAAGGAAACCCTTGAAGATATGTTTAACAGATGATTGGAAATTTGACCATTACCTAGATATTTGGTATTAAATATACATTCATTTTTAGGTGTGATAATAGTATTGTGGTTATGTTTTTTAGAAGCACTTGATCTTTAAGTACATATTGATATATTTGCTGATAAATTATGATACTGGGCATTTATTTCAAAATAATATGGAATGAGGATAGTAGACTCTGGCCTCGGCAGGTGGTTAGTATTGGCTTGGGCAGGTGGTTAGTGTTAAGTATTCATGAGAGTTCATCATTCTATTTTTGTATGTTTCAAAAGCTTTCTTAATTAAATGTAGAAATGAAGGGAAGTGTGCTTAGAGAACCAAATTGAATAGATAAGGAAAAAATGCTAGAAATATATACTTGACTTTCTAGTATTACTTTTTTGTCTTTTTGTGCCTTCTCATATAAAAATACAACACTATCCAAGAAGTAGTCTTGCTTTCCCCATGCCTTAGGAAAAAAAAAAAAAAAACATAATCAAAAAAATCCAAAAGCAAATACAAAACCTGAATCTGAGCAAGTCTCCAGATTTAACTACCAGTTTACAAGAAATAAAGGATGGTGAAAGCTTTCAAATGACACCTGGGAATGTAATCAGCAAAATCCAATTGCATGAAGATTTTTGTGGCAAGTTGCTTAATGTTTTCAATAAATTAAATGTAAGAAATAAAAAAGAACCAGGTGGAACCTATGTTCTTTCTGATTGAGGCAAATTCTTTTTGGGTGTAATAAGAACTTTTTTGTTAATTATTAAGTTATAAAAATAGCTTTGGAACATTTCAGGGGGCTTTTTCCCCCCCTATTTAGGGAGGCAGCATATCACAGTGGTTAGGGAATGAATTCTGTAATCAAAATGGCTGAGTTCAAACCCCAGCTCTGCCATTTACCTTGTGACTTTAGAAAATTACTTAACCTCTCTGTGCCTCAGTTTCTTCATCCATGAAAAGCTACTAAAGCAGTAACTGTCTCATTAGTGGGCATATACATTAACCAAATAAGAATAAAGTGCTCATAACACTGCTAGGTACAGTATAAGTGCTATGTAAGTGCTAGCCGTTATTATTATTCTGGTATATAATGATCATTATACAAAGCAGTAATAAAAAAGGAGGAGAAATAATTATCTGAGGCAAAACATTCCTGATGTATGTCTTAGTCAGATTTGGTTGCTATAATAAAAACACCATAGACTTTGATCTGTGTCTCTTACAGAGGCACTAATCTCATTCCTGAAGGCTCTGTGCTCATGACGTAATTACCTCCCAAATTCCCCACCTCCTGATACCATCTCACTGGGGGTTAAGATTTCAAAATATGAATTTTCAGGGGACACACTAATCTCTAACAATGGCTGAATCTCAAAGTTTGAAGGCCTTATACTTTTTATTTTAGTTGCCAAAAAAATACCAGGTCACTGCCAGGGTGCTGTCTATGTATAAAGTATGAAATTTGCTATGTGTGAATATGGAAGCCAGCATGATTGAGAGATTTATCCTCTTTTACTTTCTTAATCTTGATGTTTAACGTATGATTTTGAGGGGAATAGGAATTTAGCTTTTTGTTTTCTTTGATTCTTCAATTAGATTGAGTAGTTTGTTGTCCTAAGCATGTGACCTTTAGAGAGGCATACATAAAGCCTAGGTATTTTTCTAGTGTAGGTGATAATCTTTTCAGTGGCCCTAGAATTTTCATAAGCCAGTAAATAAAAAGGAAAATCAAAGAAATCTCTTCCTGTATTACAGCTGTCCCCAATCTTTTTGGCACCAAGGACTGGCTTGTGAAAGACCAGATGTTTTCCACAAAAATTGATGGTGGCAGTAGGATTTGGCATTAGATTTTTGTAAGGAAGAAATCACCTTTGGCTACAGGGCACTTAGAGAAAGACCTCAGGTGGAGGTAGGATTGATTAGGTTTGTCTGAGCTCAGCCTCTCTTTGGACTGAGCTTGCTGTGACCACTGTAGGGGATGAGAGTGTAGTTCTCAGGCCACTGGAGTTACGTTCCCAGGGGGATTATGGCTGTCTCCACTGTGTCATACTGGTCACCAAGGAAGTGGGGGAAACCAGCAGGCAGGCCTCACCCAGCTCCCATGCAACCAGGCTAGGCCATTCTCACTCCCATTATGCCTCCCCAAACCAAGTTTGTATCCAGGAAGCCTGTGAATAGGACTGACATTTTCCCCCAGGCTACAAAGCCTCCCTGCTGAGAAAGCAAGCAGGACCTTCAGGCCCTGCCTCTTGCCACCTACCCTGGCTTGTACCTGAGCTTTCTGTTTGTTCTTTCTTCAATTCTGCCCAGGATAATTCATGTTAGGCCAAAATTATTTAAAGTTCAGCTGGAAGTTTCCTTCTTTCTGTGGTCCTTCCCCAATGCCACTGGCAGCCCTTCTCAAGGACTCCTATGAGATAAAGTCAGAAATGGCTTGCCTGGGCTTCCTTGGAAACCAGGAGTACCTGCAGAACTCTTCTGGCGTCTGCTTCTATTACATTTCCCTTGGCTCTCTAAATTTGTTTTAGCTCTAGGTAAGGTTAAATCCTCCTCTCATGACCTGGATTTTCAGGTTCTCCAGTAAGGATTTGTTTGGAGGCAGACTTTCCCCCTCTCACACTTTGGACACTCAACAGTTTTCCTGATATGTTCCTGCAGTAGTTCTTGGAGCAAAAGTTCATGATGTGAGTCTCCACACACCGTTCTGTCCATGTGAGTGGGAGCTGCAAGTTATCCTACTTTCTATCCTCCACTTTTTCCTGTATGTGCTATACTTTAATGTGACTGGCAGTGCAGGTTTGTTTATGTAAACATAAGCATCACCATAAACACATGATATTCATTAGGATATCATGATGGCTGTGAGGTCACTAGGCAATAAAATTTTTTAACACCATTATAACCTTATAGGACTACTATTGTGTATGCATTTCGGTGTTGACTGAAACACTGTTATACAGTACATGACTGTAGCACAAATTTAACCACTTAAAACAATACTCTTTTTTATTATTTATCTCACTGTTATGTAGAGATAACCATGAGCTTGACTAGGTATTCTGTTTAGTGTATTACAGTACTGGAATCAAGATGTTGGCAGGTTTATATTCCTTTCTGGAGGATGTGAGGATGAATCTACTTCCAATCTGCTTCCAGTCTTATTCAGATTGTTGGCAGAATTCAGTTTCAGGTGGTTGTGGGACTAAAGTTCCCATTTCCTCACTGACTGTTGGCCAGGGTGTCATTCTTAGTTTCTAGAAATAACCCATGTTTATTGGTATATGTCCCCACATCTTTAGTGCTGGCAATGATGCAAGTCCTTTTCATGCTTCGAATCTGTGTGACTGTTCATTCTGCCTCATTTCTCCCCTGCTTCTGTAACCGGGTTTTTTTTTTGTTGTTTTTTTTTTTAGAAAGTACCCATTTTTAAGGGTCTGTGTGTTTGGATTGGGCTCACCTACATTATCAAAGCTAACCTCCCCATGTCAAGACCCCTTTTGCCATGAAATTTAATGTAGTTACAGGTTACAGAGATTAAAACAGGCACATTTCTGGGAAGCTGTTCTTTTTCGCACTACATTTTAAAGTTCCTTTGGAGTATTATCACGGTTCAATTTTGAATGAGATTTTTATTTTTACAGGTTTTTTATGTTAACTTTGGAGACCTTTTGTGTACTTTACACGAAACACCTTATATAATAAGTACTGGGGATTCATTCTATGTTCCTTCAGGTAACTATAATTAAAGACAATTTATTTCACTTAGACAACATCTATATAGTTGTTTTTGGGCACCATGGAAATGGAAGCCACAGTGGTCAAAATGAAGTGTGATATGACTGATGGATGTCAAAACAGTTTGGTACCTGTTTTCCTTTCATGTTATCATTAGGTAAGCATATTAGCATTTTATTGTGTGGTGGTTTTTTTTTTTTTTCTTTTTTTGAGACAGAAGTCTTACTCTGTCACCCAGTCTGGAGTGCAGTGGCATGATCTCGGCTCACTGCAGCCTTTGCCTCCAGTGTTCAAGTGATTCTTGGCCCTCAGCCTCCTGAGTAGCTAGGACTTTAGGCATACACCACCACGCCTGGCTATTTTTTGTATTTTTATTCGAGACTGCATTTGCCATGTTGGCCAGGCTGATCTTGAACTTCTGACTTCAAGTGATCTGCCCACCTCGGCCTCCCAGAGTGCTGGGATTACAGGTGTGAGCCACGGTGCCTGGCCAGTTAGTGTTTTGATACATGAGAACAAGAGTTGTTTACTACTGAATGTAAAAATATTTACTCAGAAGATATGTTATATTCCAGAGAAGAAGGAAAATTATTTTCCCCATGTTACCTCTAAGAAATCATGTTTTTAGAACATTAAACTGTTTAAAGAATGGTATGCTTCATCCACTATTGAACAGCAGAAGTCATGGTAAGTAAGTGTTTTAATCCACTTGACATTCATTCACTCATTCAACAAGTATGATTAAGAGCCTACTATGAGCCAGGTGCAGTGGCTCACACTTACAATCCCAACATTTTGAGAGGCTGAGGAGGGCTTGATGTGAGGAGTTCGGGACCAGCCTGGGCAACATAGGGAGACCCTATCTCTACAAAAAATGCAGAAATTAACCAGACCTGGTGATGCATACCTATAGTCCTAGATCTTGGGAGGCTGGGACAGGAGGATTGCTTGAGCCCAGGATTTCAAGGTTGCAGTGAGCTATGTTTGTACTACTGTACTCCAGCCTGGGTGGCAGAGTGAGAGTCTGTCTCAAAAACAAAAACAAAACAAAGTTTCTACTATGTCCATGTATTCCTGCAAGAGTTTGGGATGTAAAATGAACAAAACAGGCAAACATCCCTGCTGTTAAAGAGCTTACATTCTGTTGGAAGGAGCCAATAGTAATAGCCATGCTTATATAGTCCTTAACATGTGAGCACTCTTGGGAATTTTCTCAATTGTGAACTTCCTCAATTTCTAATATATAGAAAGTCACAGTGATAGTACTCAATTCTGATAAGCCTGTTACATGGGATACTTGTCCATCTGTATTTCACTTTTGCTGTTATTTATTACCTTATTTATTTAAGAGTAGCATTTGCGTTTTTAAAATTTTGATTTTTTACTTAACATTGTACCTTTTATACTCATCTATATATGAGTATGTCTGGTTTAGAGGAATCCACGGCAGTTCTACAGACTAATAAAGATTGGTTTCAGAAAGAGATTTTCTTTTTTTAAACCCTTGACTGACTCATCTCTGCATTTTTTTACCATAATGATGTGAAATTTATATTGTCTCAAGCCTTATCTGGATTATGTGTCATGTTTAACTCTTGATGTTTTAGTTCATGAAATTGAATAAGTTACTTTAAGTTAGGTGAATTGTTTTTGTTTTGTGTCCTATACTACAGCTGTCAGGTGATGACTGAATACTTAATCAAAAGAAATGATTCCTATGGAAATAACTTTTGTTTTCTTATCACTTTACTTTTAGGTAACTATTATAACATCAAAAATCTCCTGAATGAGGAAAGCGTTCTTCTTTTTACTCAGATAAAAAGATGAAAGATAAACCAAGCTTAAATGTATGTGTGTATATATGTATATATAAAAACAGTTTGTATAGTTGAGAAATTTATCTTTGTAATCACATAATGTTTTAAAATAAACATTTTATTCATTTTTCTGTAGACTTGTATTTCATAAACATTTCTAACTCCCACATGTTTTCTTCAGCTTTTCAGTGACTATACATAATAGGTTGTAGCAATGCCCATATTTATGATACTGCTTTTATAATATGACAAGAATATGAAAATTAAATATAGGGCATTTCTTTATCAAAAGAGACCTGATTAATTATTCATTAAAAAACATCTTTTCCAAATACTAATTTTAAATCATTGATTAGTAAATAGTCCCATGGGAGAGAACTATGTTAGATGGCATATTTGTATTAATTTCCTAGAACTGCTTAACAAAATACTATACAAACTGAATGACTTAAAGCAACAGAAGTTTATTATCTCAATTCTAGAAGCTAGAAGTCTGAAATCAAGGTGTTGTCAGGACCATGATGTCTTTGAAAAACTGTAAGGGAGAGAATCCTGCCTTATTCCTAACTTCTGATGGTTTACTGGCAATTTCTGGCATTCCTTGGCTTGCAAATGTAGCATTTCAGTCTACTTCTATTATCACATGGTATTCTAGTCTATGTGTCTGTGTTCACATGATATCTATTTATTATATTACATATAAACGTTTTTTCCATCCTGTTTCGGTTCATATTTTCTGTTGGAGGCAGTGTCCTTTGCCATTGCTTTCTGTGTGTGAACTCAACTTTGCTTTTTAATATCAAATAAATATAAGCCACAAAGTCTAATCAAGGTTTTTTGGTATCATTAGCATAGAATTATTAACTCTGAAGAAACTGATGTTTCATGATAAATTATTTTTAGGCCAACTCCCTTTTCAGGTCTTATTTAACTGTTAAATACACACATTTAAAGAAACCTGGTGGTAGGACTTATGTAGAATAAAGTGTGCTGGCTCTTTTTATACTTCATATTTTTTTTATTGTGGTTTCTTTATTGACTCATTTTGAATTTATCTTTAATTATTTGAATATATTTGTTATGAAGTCTTGTTGAAGTCTTGACTCAACAAATATCTGGGCTTGTACAGACTTAGTTTTCACTGACTGCTTTTTTTCCTTTCGTATATCTCACTTTCCCATGTTTTTACATGTTTAATAATTTTTGGTTGACAGCTGGACATTTTAGGCAGTATATTATAGCAGCTCAGTTTTGTTTTATATCTAAGGGATTTGTATTGTTTTAAATTTTACATTTTGACTGAACTCAAACTGTGGAATCTGTCTTACAAATGATGTAAAGTTATTCCTGTCTCTGCTTAGTTTTTAAATTCATTTCAAAATTTATTCTTGCCTGCTAGGGGTAGTCCCTGTGTCCGCATAACTTAGCAGTCAGCCAATCATTTAGACAAAGGTTAAGATCAAACACTTGAGTCCATAGGCCTTCCACCCACTGTTGGTTGTTTTGTGTGGGATGGAGGATGCATTTAGTGTAGCAAGCAGTTACCAAATCCCTCTTGGTTTTTACATTTGCCATGCTCTCTAGAGTCTCCCCTGTGCATGCATCATTTCAGTTTGCCAAAGATGTTTGGAGAGCTCATTTTACCCTTCTCTGCCCTTCTGTTTCCAGGATCTTATTAAATTTCTGGCTGCTCTGTTGCTCTTCAAGAACTGGGACTGTAACCTTTGGCTAACAACTACAGAATTTTCTCGTCCCTTCTTAAGTAATTTTTCTACTTTTGACTTAAAAAGTTGTAGGTTTATACCTCTGCTGTAAATCAAGTAAGTCTTCTCTTACAGCAAATTTGCTGGTTTTCAGTTAGCTACAGGAAGTTAAAGCTGCAGTTTTTACTGATCAACCTAGGGGTGGGTGAGACCTCACTCAAGAAGGCCACAGATTACAACAATCCTCTCCCCTCCCTTCTCCTCCCCTCCCCTAATTGTGATTTTTCTCCTCTGCCCATTAAGACCACTATTCTTTTTGAACTCAACTTTCTGTTTCCAGCTTTGGAGAGTGTCCCAGGCATAAAATCAGATGACTATAGAATTAATTCTCATATCTTTAAAAAATCACAGTTCTGTCCGGGTGCAGTGGCTCACGCCTCTTATCCTAGCACTTTGGGAGGCCAAGGTGATTGGCTCACCTGAGGTCAGGAGTTCAAGAGCAGCCTGGCCAAAATGGTGATACCCCATCTTTACTAAAACACAAAAATTAGCAGGGAGTGATAGCAGGTGCCTGTAATCCCAGCTACTCAGAGGCTGAGATGGGGGAATTGCTTGAACCCAGGAGGTGGTGGTTGCAGTGAGCTGAGATTGTGCCACTGCATTCCAGCCTGAGTGGCTAAGCAAGACTCCGCCTCAAAAAAAAAAAAAAAAAAAAAAAAAAAAAAGACTCACAGTCCTTCACTTTTGTCCAGTGTCTGCATAGAGTTACCTTTTCTATTTTTCTATTTTCTAATTTGTTGGAGGAGGACAAATTTGATACCCATTAATCCATCATGGGCATCACCCGTGAAAGTTTTTTTTATGGTTTTTCTAATCATTTTTATTATTGAATACGATTATACAGTTTGTTGTCCATTTACTTACCACATGGATGCATGTGCCTTTAATTTCTCCCAGTGGTTACTTACATCTTGTAACTACAATGCAGAAAACAGGAAATTGGCAAGGATAGTGCATGTGTATAATTCTACTTCATCATGTGTGTGAATTTGTATATCTACTGCAACCAACATACAACTGTTCCATCATCACTAATTTGTTCTTTAGCTCTGTAATATTGTTACTTACATATTGTTGTAGCAATGGAATAATATAGTGTGTGACCTTTGGCTTTTCTTATTCAGCATAATGTCCTTAAGATCAAGCAGTTGTACCTGTCAATAGCTCATTTCTTTTTATTGATAAGTGGTATTCTCTAGTATGGATGACTGTACCACAAATAAAGATGAAGCGAACACTTCATACAGGTTTTTGTGTAAACGTAAGTTTTTGTTTCTCTGGAGTAATGCCCATATGGGAAGCATGCATTTAATTTTTTAGGAAACTGCCTAACGGTTTTCCAGATTGGCTGTACCATTTTGCATTCTCATGATCAACTTATGAAACACAATGGTGTCATATACCCCTTATCTGTGGTTTCACTTCCCTTGATTGCAATTAACCCACAGTCAACTGTGGTCCAAAAGTATTAAATGGGAAATTTTAGAAATAATTCATAAGTTCCAAATTGTGTGCTGTTCCGAGTAGCACAATGAAACCCCATGCCCTCCCGCCTGGGATGTGAATCTTCCTTTTGTCCAACATATTTATACTATATACTACCTGCCCTTTAGTTGTCAGTATTTTCTGCTCTTGACATTCAACCATTGATAGCATCGTGGTTCTATGATCCAGAATCACCTGAAGCAGTTGATCCTCCTGACAGTAGTAGCCTAATGCTACCTCACAGTTCCTGTGTCATTCACCTCCCTTCATCTCATCAGCATAGGCCTTTTATCACGTCATCACAAGAAGACCAGTAAGACAGGTAAGACGGGTAAGTGCAGTACAAGAAAGCATTTTGAGAGAGAGCCCATATTCACAAAACTTATTATAGCACGTTATGATTTTTCTGTTTCATTATTAACTCATACTTTGTCTATAAACTATTATATGTATGCATGCAAAAAATCTAAAGATAGCTACATATTTATATATATAGATATATATAGGGCTCAGTACTATCTGTAGCTTCAGGTATCCACTGGGGGTCTTGGAACCTAACCCCCAAGGCAGACTGCTGTATCCAGCTTCTTTGCCCCCTCATCAAACGTTTGTTATTGTTATTTTTTTTTTTTTAGCTGTTCTAATAAGCGAGTAAGGATATTGTCTCTTAATTTGTATTTCTCTAATGACTAGTGATGTTAAACATCGTTTCATATGTTTATTTACTATCCATATATTTTCTTCAGTGAAATGCCTTTTCGTGTTTTATGATCATTGTTTGGGTTTTTAAATACTGTATTTTGGAAATTTTAAAAATATATTTTAGGTATGAGTCATTTGCTGGACATATGGTTTGCAAATATTTTCTCCTGGTCTGTGGCTTGTGTTTTCATTATTATAACAAGACCTTTTGAAGAGCAAAGTTTTAATTTTGATGAAGTCTAACTTACTGATTTTTATTATTTTATAGATCCTTCTGTTAGTGTCATGCAAACTCTTCAATCCCTAGATCCAAAATATTTTTTTTCCTATTTCCTTCTAAAAGTTTATAGTTTTGCATTTTACATTTCAGTTTTGTTATCCATTTTGAATTAAATGTTTTTTTCATAAGGTGAGAGGGTTAGGTCAAAATTCATTTTCTGACTGTGAACATCTGATTGTACCTGCAGCAATTTTTGAAAGGGCTTTCTTCCATTGAATTGCTTTTGCACCTTTGTCAAAAATCAGTTGAGCATATTTGTGTGGATTTATTTGGAGTTCTAGATCTATTTTTTTAATATGCTAGAAGTTTATTCTATTGAAACAGTTCAGAGGTATATAGTCAAAGGCAAAAATAGGGTGGCTCTGCTATCCTTGATATGTGGCTTGAATTTTTTTTTTTAATTTTATTTCAATGGCTTTTGGGGTACAAGCGGTTTTGGTTATATAGATGGATTACATAGTGGTGAAGTCTGAGATTTTAATGCACCTGTCACCCAAGTTGTGTACATTGTACTCAGTATGTAGTTTTTTAATCCCTCATTCCCTTCTCATCCCCCCTCTTGAGTCTCCAAGTTCATTATACCACACTGTATGCCTTTGCATATCCATAGCTTAGCTCCCTCTCACTTAGCTCATGACTGAGACCATATGGTTGTTGATTATCCGTTCCTGAGTTACTTCACTTTGAATAATGGCCTCCACCTATATCCGTGTTACTACAAAAGACATTATATTTTTAAAAGTTAAATTTTATTTTAGATCCAGGTGGTACATTTTTTAAAACTTCAATTTTATTTTAGATTCAGGTTTGTTACTTGAGTATATTGCATCCAGGTAGTGAGCACAGTTAGGTAGTGAGCACAGTATATTGAGACTTTTATCACTATGTGCAGAGGTCTGGCCTGCAGACCCTGACTCAACAAACGGATGAATAAATTTATTCCCACACCATTACAGTGATTCAAGTGGGCTGGGGATGGTTGTTGGCTGCTTTAAGAGGGCGAAATGCAACCAATCGACCAAGACTCCCTGTACATCCACACCTTTATTCAGTAAAAGATTTCCTAACAGAGGTTCTAAGTCACCACACTTGTGGATAGTTAACATGGTTAAAAAAGTGGTTTTATGATTGATAAAAGCTTTAGGTGCCAGGACCAGAGTAAATACTATTAGCAGGTAATTCCCCTTTGATTCCCCCCCACCCCCCCGAGAACTATCCAGCACAAAGTTGGCATGAGTAAACAGTAGAGACAAAGGCATGTGGGTAAACAGACTTAAACTGGAAAAGCCTTTTGTCTTCCCTATCTCTTCCCTAAGATGCCAGCTGCCTTCAACTTGTCCCAATAAAACCTTTTGGCCTTCCAAAAGGCTTCAGACTAATCTATAATTTTCCCTAATATTTTGCCAGCCACCTCGAGTGAATCTCAACAGTATATTGCATCCATGTAGTGAGCACCCAATAGGTAGTTTTTCAACTCCTGCTCCCGTCCCTCCTTCCCTGTATCTACCCAAAGGAAAAGAAGTAGAGATACGCTGCACTCTGACTTTTCCTCAGCTCCATGGCCAGGCCATCAGGAATGTGACCCACCTCCTACTCACACTTCTGATCAGTGTTCTGGCTGTTGAGATCAGACAGGTACCTCTTCATCTGCAAAAAACATTGGTGTTCAAGTAGAGAAGGAGTGTGACTCTACCCCACATGCAACTCTAAACCTGGAGGGTACTTTTCCTGTGGGGATGCGGTCACCCTGACGTTCTAGAAAGGCTGTCTATAGGTGCACCCATGTGAAGCTCCTATGGGAGAAACCCCAGCTCTGTCTACAGTGGTAGATTGGGGAGAAAGGAAGTCTTAGTAGAGCTACAGTTTCCCCACTAAGCCCAGCACTGCACCTGCGCCTCTGCTGAAAGAAACTTCCCACAAATGAAGATTCTGGAACTCAAGGCCTGCCATCTGGATTCTTTTGTCATACAGGATGCTCCCTTCATATGGTATACTCCCTGTTCCTGCAGTAGTGGGAGTCCCTGAGAGCCAAACTACTGTAAATGCTCTGCTGGGGCTAGCCACCCAGTGGGGCTGCCACACTGACTGGTGCAGGTGAATATCTGAAAGGAATCTAGTGATATGAGTTGTCCTCAAATCTTCTAGCAGTGGGTACCAGGACCAGTTCTGGTGATGGTGGCAGGGGAATGACATAGACTCAGGCTGCTTGATTATAAATAGCTCAGTGTGTTTGCTTTATCAAATGCCGATTCTAGTAGTTATGAACCGGTCACATGGACAGACTCAGGACCTCCTAGTTAGCCAGGTGGTATAGGCAGTGGTGATAGCTGAAGTCACACAGGTTTTCCTCTTCCTCGGCACTGTGTTATTCTACCTACAGATGCTGTAATGGACTGTGTTGGCTGGCCTCCAGCTAGGAGGTGGTATTTGCCAAAGAGTGCCAACTGCAGTGTTACTGGTGGGATTTGTGCTTGCCTTATGTTACCCAGGGAAGGTACTCTGATGTCTCAGGCAATGGGCAGTGCCATAGTACTTCCAAAAGTTTCTATTGTTTGTGTTAAGCTACTAGGGCAGGTAGAGGGGCAAAGCCAGGTGGAGGCTAGGTCAGACAAGCCTGCAATCTGACTTTCTGTGTGTGGGGCAAGCAGTGGCCCCACTAGCGGTCAGCGGGCAGTTCTCTGGCCACTGGGGTATTGTTACAGGAAGGAGTACAGCTGTCTCTGTTGCACAGAAGAGTTCACATAGGGTGTGGAGAGTAGCAGGTGGCAGTGAACCCCACCCAGCTCCCATGCACTTGGCAAGGTAGGTATCACACCCACAGTATTTTATTAGCAGCAGCAGCTAGCTAGATTCCAGGCAGTCTGTGCTCAGATTCTCTGTTGATCCATGTATCTCCTCTCCCTTAATTAATGTGTGACTTGAAATTGTGTATAGTGGTTCCTCCTGTTTTGTTCTTTCTGAGAATTATTTTAGGTATTCTGATTCCTTCACCTTTTCATGTAAATTTGAATAATTTTGTATATATGTGCAAAGATCCTGTGATTTTGATTAGTTATGTTAAACTTGTATATTATTTTGGGGAAAACTGACATTTTTGCTATCTTGAAGTCTTCTAATCCATGAACTTGATATGATGGTATGTTTCTCCATCTATTTAGATCTTTGACTTCTTTCATTAGTATTGTGCATTTTCAGTATACAAGTCATGTACGTGTTTTGTTAGATTTATATATAAATATCTTTTGAGGAATTGTAAATGGTAATTTTTCTATATTATGTGTTCTGTGATGTATTTCTTTAGCATTTTGCCTTTCCTATTCTTTTAAGATTTTACATTAAAAAGTGTCTTATCTCTCTGATATCAGAAATATATTGTACTAATTTTTGTATGTAACTTACATGATATGTACTAGATTAAATTAAAATAGCCTAAGGAAGTTTTGAGATTGTATATTGGAGCTTCAGAGGAGAAATAAAATTAGTTGTCTGGAAACAGCTTTATTAAATCAGAAACTTCATAACAAGGTCAGGGTAGACAACATTTTTGTGGAACACACACAGTGTCTTGATATTTTTAAAAATAGGTTTTATTTATTAGAGCAGTTTTAGATTCACAGCAAAGTGGAACAGAGAGTACTGAGTGTTCCCTGTATACCGCTTGCTCTCACACGTGCACAACCTCTCCTACTATCAACACCCTGAACCACAGTGGTACATCTGTTACAGTTGATGAACCTACAGTGACATATCATTATTAGCCAAAGTTTACAGCTTACATTAGGGTTTTCAGTTGGTGTTGGATATTCTATGGGTTTTGATGAATGTATGATGACATGTATCCATTATTATAGTATTATAGAGAATAGTTTCACTGCCTTAAAATTCCTCTATGCTCCTCCTATTTACATCTCCCATCTACCTCACCTCTGGCAACTACTGATCTTTTTAGTCTCCATGGTTTTGCCTTTTTCAGAATGTCATAGGATTGAATTATACAGCCTCTTTTGTTTGATTTCTTTGATAGTGTATTTTTAATAAAATTTTTAGCTTTCACAGGTTAATTATTAATGTATATAAATACAATTTTTTTGAGATGGGGTCTTGCTATATTGCCCAGGCTAGAATGCAGTGGCTATTTGCAGGTGTTATTATAGTGCACAATAGCCTTGAATTTCTGGCATCCTGTGTCCTGAGTAGCTAGAATTACATATGTGTGCAACTTCACCAGGCTCCCAATTGAGTTTTAAATGTCAATTTTTGCATCCTGAATACTTGCTAGAGTCACTACGAGTTATAGGAAGTTTTCATTGTTTGTTTTTCAAAGGTTTGTTTTTAAAGATTTTCTACTTAGACCACTATGCAAATAGAGCCATTTTTTTTCTGTCCTATCTGAATGCTTCTCACTATTAGAGCTTCCAGTTTTATGTTGAATAACAATGGGGAAAATAGACATTCTTACCTTTTTTTCCTAATTATAGGGGGAAAGCATCTAGCCTTCACCATTAAGTTTGATGTTAGCCGTAGGTGTTTTTTTTTAGATGTTCTTTGTCAAGTTTAGAACTAATTTTTTAAATAACAAATGAGTGTTGAATCTCGTTAAATGCCTTTTTGCATCTGCGGATATGATCATGTGGTTTCTCTTATGTGTATAGATATGTTTGTAATATTTTCTTTTTGTTTGTTGTTTTCTGCAGAGTCTATAGCGATATTCTCTGTTTTGTTCTTGGGTGCTTTTCCCAATTTCGCTAGAGGTTTGCCAGTTTTGCTACAGGTTTGTCAATATTATTGATCTTTTTAAAGACCCAGCTTATTATTGTTCAGTGATTTTCTCCTGTCTTTCTGTTTTCAATTTTATTGATTTCTGCTTTTATTTTTTCCATTTTCTGCTGTTTTTGAGTTATTTTTGTCTTCTTTTTCTAAGTTATTGAGGTAGCAGCTTAGACTATTGACTTGAGACTCTTACTTTTTTTTAATGTATGCATTTAATACTATAAATTTCCCTCTCAGCACTGCTTTAATATGTGTCTCAAATTTTGATATGGTGTATTTTCATTTTCACTCAGCTCATTGTATATATTTTTTACTTCTCTTAAGATTTCTTCAACCAAGGATTCTATAGTAGTGTATTGTTTAGTTTCCAAGATTTAAAAATGTTTTTTTTTTCTGTTTTATTACTGTTTTCTAGTTTGATCCTACTGTATTCAGAGAACACAGTGTATGTTAGTAATTATTTCAAATGTGCTAAGGTTTGTTTTATGATCCAAGATATTGCCTACTTTGTATATGTTCTGTGGGCACTTGAAGAAAATGTATATTCTGCTTTAATTGTGTGGAATTTGCTAAAAATGTCAAGTAGATCCTGTCAATGTTGTTGTTGAGTTCATGTATATACTTGCTGATTTTTTTCCTAGTTCTATCAATTATTGAGATTGAGGAGTGTGAAGTCTCCAACAATTGTGGATTTGTCTGTTTCTCCTTTCAGTTCTGTCAGTGCTTGCTTCACATATTTTGCAGTTCATTTGTTTGGTACAAACACACTTGGGATTGCTCTGTCTTCTTGGCTCTTTCTTTTTTTTTTATTATGTTCTTTATCAAGTGAGGAAGTTTCCCACTATTACTAGTATATAGTTTCTTGCAGAAGGAACAGATTGAGATAAAATTTTTTTTAATGTTTCTATCATTTACATTATATAATGTCCTCCTTTGTTGCTGGTAATTTTCTTTGAAGTCTGCTTTGTCTCATACTAATATAACCACCCTTTCTTTCTTTTAATTAATGCATGAATGATGTTTTCCCATTCTTTGTCTTTCAGTTTACCCACATTGGTATATTTGAAGGTAATTTCATATAGACAGTATATCATTGGATCTTTGCGGGTTTTTTAAAAGAAATTTTTTTTTTTACTTATAATAGAGATAGGGTCTTACTTTGTTACCCAAGCTTGTTTTGAACTCCTGGCCTCAAATGATCTGCTTACCTCAGCCTTCCAAAGTCCTGGAGTTACAAGTGTGAGACACTGCTCCCAGTTGGTTGTTTTTGTTTTATTTTAATACACCTAATTTTTCAGTTTGTTCCCAGTTTTTGGTTTCTGTTTTTTTTTTTCCCTCCCTTCTAGTGGCTTTCTTAACATTTTGTAAAATTAATTTATCTGTAGCATTTTTAGTCTATCTGTTTATATAGCATTTTAATACCTAGAATAAAGTATTATACATACATACATTAGTTACCATTTTACCTATTTGCTTATAAAAATATTAGCATTATCTACATCTCTTTGCCTGCCTTTATGTACAATATGACTGATTTTTAAATATTTCTTCTATATAACTTGAGAACCTGCCAGTGTTAGAATTTTTGCTCTAAAACATAGTTTATAAGGGCAAGTAGAAAAAGAAAATCTATTGTATTTACCCATATACTTATTGCCTTTGTAGTTCTTTGTTCTTCCTGATGTTTCAAGATGTCTTTCTTTGTTTTTTTTTTAAATTTTGAGAATTTCATTAGTCATACTTTTCTGATAGGTCTGCTAGTGACAAATTGTTTTTGTTTTTGTTTTTTCCATCTGAGAATGTCTTTATTTTCCTTCGAAAGCTATTGCACTAGATATAGAATTCTAAGTTAATAATTCTTTTCTATCAGTTATTTAAAAATGCTGGGCCTCTATCATTTTGGCCTTCATCATTCCTGACGAGAAACACACTGCCATTTGAATTTTTCCCCTGTACTTGAGACATTTCTCTCTTATGCCTTTCAATATTTTTGATTTATCTTTGGTTTTCTGAAGTTTTTTTATAATTGTCTTGATGTGAACTTTTTGGGTTTATCCTGTTTGATGTTTGTTCAGCTTCTTGAGTTTGTAGGTTTGTATGTATCTTGCTACATTTGGGAATATTTTAGTCATTATTTCATGCAATACTTTTCAAGCCCACCCTCTTTCTTTTTTCCCTCTAGGATCTGATGACACAAATGTTAGTTTTTTTGTTGTTAAATTCCCACAGAATACTGAGGTTCGGTATTTTTTTTTTTCAGTCTATTTTCTTTCTGTTGTTCATTCTGAGTAATTTCTATTGTTCTGTATTCAAGTTTACTATTTTTTTTCCCCTGTTCCTTCCATTCTGGTGTTAAATCCATTAATTGGGACATTATATTTTTCAGTTGCTGAAACTTTCTAATTTTTGTTTCAACTCATTTTGTCATTGTTCCTTGTAACATTTTTATGATGGTTACTTTAAAATATTTGTTAGAATCTATAATCTGTATCATCCTGACATTGGTGTCTTTTGGTTGGGACATTGTATTTTTCAGTTGCTGAAACTTTCTATTTTTTGTTTTAATTCAATTTGTAATTTGTCCTTGGAATATTTTTATGATGATTACTTTCAAATATTTGTTATATTCTGTAATCTATATCCTCCTGACATTGGCATCTGTTGATTATCTTTTCTTATTCAATTTTAGGTATGAGGAATGATTTTCATTTGAATCCTTAACATTTTGAATATCTTGTTATTATATTTTGGATTTTATTTCAATCTGTTTAGCAGTCCTCAGACACCTCTTCTCACATCTCTGATATTGAGCAGTCAGGGAAAAGGGTTGCTTCCTTGTTGCTAAAAGATGGGAGTGGATACCCAGGTTTTCTACTCAGCCTCCATTTATACTCTAGGTGTAAGAGGGCTGCCTTATTATTGCTAGATGGGTTTGAGAATTCAGGCTCCCAATTAGGCCTCCACTACTAACTGCCCGGAGGCACAGGGGTGCCTTGTTAGTATTCTCCATGTGCCTTTCACCATCATTGTGTGGTGATAAAAGTCCTTTCTTTACACTTAGCCATCACTGAAGTCACCACTGCATAAAGGGGAAGAAGTGTCTCACTACTTGTTGGTAATGGGTAGAAGTTAGGTTTTTCCACTTGATCTCCCCCCTACCCCTCCCACCCCCAACAGTGAAGGAAGAGGAGGGCACTCCTTTCAGCAGGGCTGAAAATCATGAATCATGAATTGCATGATGTGTGTTATTGTGTCCAGCCTAAGCTGAGTCTTTCTCAGTCTTTTTCTTTCTCCTCTTAAATGAGGCGGAAACCAGAAGTCTGTCTACTTTTTATGTAATATTTTTTCTTGCAAAACACATTCATAAACATTTAATTTAAGATGTATTTTTAGCTTAAAGATTTTTAAATAAATTATAGCCTAATTTTCTTATAAATCATATTTATTTGCTAATTTGTTTCATAATTCTAATGTTTAATCTTTCCTATGTAATTTTCTAATTTAATCTTAATTTCTAAAAATTTTTGTGTCCCAGGTGTTTCTTCTGAAAACTAAGTATCAAGTAGTCCATAAAGTTACTGGCCTTTTACAAAGAAGCACTGATTTTGACATGCACTCTTAGATGCTTTTCTATGTTTTTCTGGTGTTTCAATCACTTTTCTGGTGTTTTTGCTTTATGCTTTTTGCTTTCTCCCATATCTGTGCTTTAAAGTGGGTGTAGGTGTAGATGCATGGTTTTGTGTTCCTTTTCTAGTGTAGACATTTTATTGTACTATGCAATTCTAGCATACAAAAAGATACTTTTATTAAAACCTTAATAGCAAGCTGTTCCAATTGTCTATTACTGAGTAAAAGTAGCAGCCATTTGCCTGACATGGTGGCTCACATCTGTAATCCCAGCACTTTGGGAGGCTGAGGCAGGAGGATTGCTTGAGCCCAGGAGTTCCAGACTAGTCTGGGCAACATAGTGAAACTTCATCTTTTAAAAAAATAATAATAATAAAAAAAAGAAACAGTAGCCATTTTATTATATTAACAGAATCTGTGAGTCAGGGATTCTCAAAGGGCACAGTGGGGATCGCTTATATCTGTCCATGATCATTTAGGCCTCAGCTGTGAAGATTTGAATGCTGGGAACTGTTATCATCTGAAGCATTATTCACTAATGTGTCCGGTGGTTGATCATGACTGTTTTCTGGGATCTCAGCTGAGCTGACATCTGGAACAACTGATCATGGACTTTCCATGTGGTCTGTCCCTCCTTGCAGCATGGAAGCCTTTTGCACTCGGACTGCTGAAATAGTGGACCAGGGCAATAAAAGTGACTTAGAAAACCAGATAGAAGCTATCTCACCTTTTATAACCTAATAAAGTCATATAGCATCATTTTTGCTAACACAACAATTTTGCCTGAATTCAAGGGAAGAGAACATGACTACCTGAGGGATTCTTCCCACCTGCTGCACAAAAAAAAGACCATGGCATTGCAGTAAAGAAAGAATTTAATAGACCAAGGCAGGCCATGCCACATGGGAAATGGAGTTAGTACTCAAGTCATTTTCATCCAAAGCTAATAGGTAAGGGGTTTTTCAAAGGTCATTTGGGGGAAGGGCTGGGGGTGGCTAGGATTGCTGCTGATTGGTTGGGGTGGAGATAAAATCATAAGGAGCCAAATGTACCCTTGAGGTTAATTGCTCCTGGGTGGAGCAATTAACTCCTATAGGAGTGGAATTGGTTGGTCCAGGTGGAGCTATGGGTGTCAGACATGCAAAAAATCCTAAAAAGATATCTCAAAAGGCCAGTGTATAATACTGATGTTATTTGCAACAACAGCTGGCAATCATTTGTATCTGTACCGTAGCA